AAATGCATACTTTATTTGATCTTCGAACTTGTGAAATTAAAATCAGCCACCAATGGCAAATGTATGTAAATGATTAGAATAATTAAAACAAAATGTTTCACTCAAATATTTTGCCCAATTTTTAAGACTTCTGTTATAAGTAAATTGCTCGTATTTCAGATGTAATAAAATGCAAGAATGGCTTTAAATTTTTTTCCTGCTTACGGCAAGCCTACGTGATGTAATCGGAAAGCACGTCTCGCTACCAGCAGAAAGTGTCTCGGCGAGAGCATTGCACATTTTTCACGTCTCCTGCTTCAAAAATCTAATGACTCCGCGAGTAACGCCCGAACTAAAACGGGGTGGACGATAATTCGTCACCACCAGGGTTTGGCATTTGAGTTCTCTCCTTCCCAGTCGCCCTTTAAGTGGGGAAGAATGTAATATTTTTCTTCGTCCTTACCGCTTTCTTTCTATCGTGGTGTAATTGCAAAGCACGTCCGACTTGCAGCTTAAGGTTCAGAGTTCGAGTCCCGGCGAGAAAATTGCGCATTTTTCACATCTCCTGTTTCGAAAACTTAATGACTTTACATGAGTTGTAAAGTGTATTAGAATACAAAGTGAGTTTTGCCTTCTTTAAGCAATACTAAATTTTCTAATTTTAAAAAACTGGAAATATTTATTATTATTATTTTTTTCCCCATTTTAATGAAGATTTTTTGGTACTGAACAATCATAGCAATCAACTTGGTTAGTAGTCGCCAGATTTTCTGAAGTCACTAAACTCCAGCAACCATGCGCATAACAGTTCTTTAAGTAACCATATCCATTATAAGTTGCAATTCGAAAATTCACCGAATCACTTTTTCTTCAGTAAAAAATCGCCAAACGCCAAGGATGTTGACCTAATACGTGAGTACCGATTTTTCTTTTCATTCCTGAATAGAATCACTTCCAAAATTTTTCCATTTTAATATATTAAAAAATGGTAGTACTTGTAATTTATCACTAGATAAAAGTGATGAAGCGATTTATTATGTGAGTTAAGTACCGTTAATTTTCAACGTAAATATTTTTATGTGCTTATATAAATAATTATACAGTCTTTATAATCAAAATATGTAAAATTTTTATACGCTTATACATAATTATATAGCCCCCCTTTTTTTCATTTAATCAAAGCATATACTGTAAAAGCATGCATTGACTGGAAATAATAATTACTCTCTCTCTGTAGAACTCTGTATCCCTTTATTCTGATGTCATCTGAAGATATAATTAAAGGCTTAAAACCTTAAAAAGGGCCAAATTAACGCAGGGCAAACAAGCAGTTTCTAATTTTTTAATATTTTATATTGGAAAAATTCTCAGAGCGAAGGACTTCTATTTCTTTTTGAGTTCTTTTCTGGAACATTTCTACCTCATTTTTGCTATATCTATGTAAATAAATATAAATTACAATTTTTATATTATTAGAAGATTTTTAATTTGAAAGATTTGCTTCTTTGTAGAGAGAATCTGTAGTTGCAAGAAAATAACATCATTTCTGAGAGTATTTTTATCCAGTGCTATTTCTACGTAGATGTTGAAATACAATTCGCGAAATTTCTTTCCTTCAGACCATCTGCCAATTCATTTTTTGATCAGTTGAATGCACAAAGCGGCTAGTATATTCTCTGGTTCGAACTGGAAGCGCAATTTACGTCATAAGCAGATCGTTCAGCAGTCGGAAGACAGATTTCCTCCACCCCCCGCTTCTGCGCATCCTCCCTATCTCATCTCTGACGTCTCCTGGTGATGTGACGCATTTATAAGCTTTACTAAAAACAGATGGGATCGCTGTTTTTTTTTAATAAGTCTGAAATTCACAATTCTCTTTTTCATGTATCATTCGACGTAATATTTAATTCATGGTGATGTGACGCATTTATAAGCTTTACTAAAAACAGATGGGATCGCTGTTTTTTTTTAATAAGTCTGAAATTCACAATTCTCTTTTTCATGTATCATTCGACGTAATATTTAATTCAAAACTGTTGAATGTGTATTCATATGTGTTAAATGTTTTTGCATCCAAAGATAATCGATAATTAGTGCTGTTATAGTTATTGTCAGCTTTCGTTTTTTAATTGGTTGTTGTGATCTTCGAACCTATGAACCCCCTTCCCTCCCAACATGTAGAAGGAACCTAAATAATAGTTTTTCAGTTTTCTCAGTTTACATATATGGAATTCTTATCTTCAGTTTATGGATTTAGAGTCTTGGCAAAATAGAAAAATATTGCCACTTAAACAAATATTTATTCGAAGTTTTATGCAAAAATGATCCAGTTAAAAAAAAGTGCAAACTTTCTTGCTATTTTGAATAACTTATTTTAAATATAAAACATATTTTGAATTTCCGGGAGATTGATTCATAAACTAGTAGGTCAGTCCTGGTTGTGTAAAATTGTTTTAGTTGTTCAACAAAATGTGCACATTAATTGTAACTTGTTTTTAATGATTTTTAAAAATTTCGATTAAAAATATATGTATATTTTTCAAGTTTTGAAACTTTAAATTCTTCAAAGTGTTAGACTGACTATAAACTGAAATTTTCCGATTTTTTTTTTTTTTTTTTTCCCTAAATAATTCCACGTTCTTTAAGCGACTGATATTGAAAAAGTGAAAGTATTTGTTATTTTCTCTATATAATTTGGCTTTCTTTAAGTGATTAAGATAGTGAAAATATTTTTTTTTTCGTTCCGAATGAAAAATCTTTTCATTTCTGAATGAAATCAGTTCCAAATAGAAACAAGAAACATTTTTTTTCATATGCCTTTGAAATAAAATATTTCCATTTATCCTTAACAGTTTGTAATATTTGGATTAGAAATCAATTATGAAGCTTTAAATTTAATGAAAATATGTGTAGGTGTTAAAATTTAATTTGAACATATTTATGAATGTTTTTAATAAAGTTAATAGAAGAAAATTTATATTCGTTTCAATAATTCAAGGCTTGGAGTTTGGATAACCTTATCTATACCGATTCTTCCATAGCTGTTCTATATTTGGATAACAGGTAATAAATTTCATAAAAACGTCAATCTTAGAGTAATCTGAGTCTAATTCACAATATTAAGGAAAAGGGGGAAGCTCTATAGATCTTTCATTTTGTCCATGCTTATTTGCGGAACATAATTAAAAATAACTCCGGAATTCTTTGTATTTTTATTGCCACTAAGTCAGAAATTTTTTCTCTTTTTTTTGGGGGGGGGAATTACCAGTATCCGAGCGCCTTGGAACTCTGGTAGTTTTAATACAATACCAAACGGCGCGGGCTAGTCATATGGTATTTTCATGATTTTTCTCATGTAGCGAGCTTTTCTCAAGTTACGAGCTGTCCCCCTCTTTTCCGTAAATAGCCCTTTTCTGACAGCAGCCTTGGTAATTTTGTGACAATATAGTGGGAGGCATGGTTTTTCGAAATATTTCCAATCTGCAGCGTAAATATCTCTACTGTCAGGAAGCTCGTAAAACATATTTTAGTACAAATAGTGTACTTTAGTGTAAACTATAAATATTTCTTTTCAAATGTATTGATTATGATTATCTAAATTTCGTATCTTTCCTTTGATAGTATGAAATTTGACATTGTGGTAAGGTTTTCTATGAAATTTGATATTTTGGTAAGGTTTTCTGGGGCAACTTTGAGAGATGTAAAATTTTAAATAAATTTCTGCAGTAGATTTCTGATGTTTCAATCAAAAAAAAATATTTCATCTTTTCGAGTGGAAGGAATAAGAATATCTGTGCTTTCTATGAAAATCGACTTACACCACTGTTTAATATTATATTTATTTATCGTAACGTATAAAAATATTTCCGTTGTGAATAGATAAGTGGGAATGTATGGTAGAAGTTTGATGTGTGTATAACCAGTTTCCATTCGTTCTCTCATAAAACTCTTTATAGTTAATTTATTATGCCAAGCTTTAGTACTGAATAAGCGTTAGTCGTCGGCTCCAGGAAAGTTCGTAGCAGATGGCGACGTGTTCCTTTTGGAACTAAGAATCGAAGCAAAGCAGCGAATTATGAAATGTCTCTCCTTAAAAAAAAAAAAAAAAAAAAAAAAAAAGAAGAAGAAGAAAAAAAAAAGAAACTTTAATTCTATTTAAATCTGATATGTACGTTCTTGATGATTAATTGTACGCATTCTCAATTTGTTGGATAAAGAATTTACGCAAGCCATTATGAAATATCTCAGCCAGCCAGCTGTGTTGAAATACCCCGTAATGCCATCAAGGTATTTTAGCCTCCCTTACTTTTGCTAGTATGTACTTATTCCGTGAAGAAGTAAATTTAATGTGGTGAATAATCATATAAAGGGAAGGGAAGAAAAAGCAACATGCGATTTATATACATATCGCGTTAAGAAATAAAATGCGAAACTGGGTTGTCCTAGAAAGTAGTTGTTCGAAACTATCATAGATGGCAGCACTAAATGCTTATTCGGACTTTTTAAAAATGGATGGGCATTCTCTAAACTTGTTCGCCTTCTTTTATTTTTAAAGGCTAAAAAACGTTTACATGTTATGAATTACGGCTGTTATGTAAAAGATATAGAACTTTGAGTCTTAGTAACATTGCATCGATATATCTTGAAGGTTAAAAATGCTGTAGATTAAAGGTTAAAAAGAATAAATGTTACCTTTATTTTCTATCATTTTTTTTTACTTCAGTTGTCTGTCAAAGTTAATTTAAAGAGTTACTTTTTGTAATATATCAATAATGCTTCATTTTTTAAAATATCTTTAGGTTGGTAACATGAACCATATATTTAAAACTATTATAGTGACTGAAGTAGTTTTTTAATTATTTATTTCATTATTATTAAAATTTTTGTTTTTGTAGTAGATCCTCACCTTCCGCATGAATTTTTCTACTCTGCCTATTATTTTTAGAGACTTGTTTTTAAAATATGAAAAAACATTTGTATAATTTTGGAGTTAAATATTTTTCTGTTTCTTTTTTTTTTAGGTTGCTGTGAATGAGAAGCTTTATAAAATGGATTTGTAGATAGTGAATGAAAAAATCAATTTTGTTGATATGGCACATAGTTTAATGGTGTGTACAGTGGATGTTCACCAGCTTGCAGCTATTGTAAGAAATCATATTGATAATGTAAGTGTTTTTAGAAATCCATTTTAGAAAATGCATTTCAAGCTTTTATAACTATGAAATTATTTAAATTTAATATTTTAATTCTGAAAAATAAATTTTTTTAGAAATTGTATTTAAAATATTTGTTAGCTAGTGGTATGTAAATTTTAAACTACTATATATGAAAAAAAAATATTAATATATGAATAAACCAGTAGTTAACGAAATGTGGATATTACAATTTATTCCATATGTTCCAAAAGTTAGGTGTATTTTTTGGTAATTTAACACTATTTTGTCCAAGCTGAGATCAATATTCCGTCTATTAAAATATTTGAATAAATTGTATTACTTTGACAACTGGCTGAGTGCTAAACTTGTCTAAATTGGTTATTGTAATAGTTAGTTATTATAGTAGGACATCAGTACTAACATAGAAATAAAACATAAGAAATAACTCTAACTTTATGCACTGCATCTTTGATTTCCATCTCCAAGGGTTATTTTAACTTCAAAACTGAATATTCAAAGTATGTGACCAATCACAGAGTCACACTCTGATCAATCCATGATTTTCAGGAGATGTCCCCGATATTGAATCAATGATTCTGCTATCAAGATAGCAGACTTCATTCAATCATGCAGTAAAGAAATTGCAGGATATTATCCCTTCAATAGAAAAATGGTGCACCTTGTAGCGCATCTTCATCAACGTGCTCAAGTTACAACTCTTAATTATACAAGGAAAAAAGATAAATTTTTCCATACGCAGAAAACTTTATCTCTTCAGAGTCGAAGTTCCACAAGTCAACAAAGCAAAGTATTTGGGAATAACTTTAAACAATAAAATGAACTGCAAGGACCACATCAACAAGATACGCAGCAAAGCTGTAGGTGTCATGAATTCTCTCACACCCCTCATTGGAAATCATTCAAAACTGGATTTAAATAAGAAAAGGCCCATGGCCAATTATTACTTATGCTTCACCCACCTGAGCGACAGCGTCTAAGAATAATATAGTCAAGCTGCAAAAATTTCAAAATCGCTTCCTTAGAGTGATAACAAATGCACACTTCTACGTGTCGAATGAAAGGCTGCACAAAGACGTAAAAATTGAAAGTATTAAGGATTTTTTAAGTAAAGCTAATAGAAACTTCTATAACAAGGCCAAGGTTTGTGCCCATCTAAACTCCTTTAAGACTCTCAGCTACAAGATTTTAGCAGAAGACAGTGACCATTCGCCCCTATGCTGCTCACCTCTCCAGTGACAATAACCTTCCTACTTAAGCTCCTGTTGCCACTACTTTACCTGCACTAGCTTTGTTTGAACATATGTAGTTTACTTGTGTATATTTTCCACTTACTGTGCATTGTATTTGCTTTTTTCATTTTATTTTCCTGGTGTTATGTTTACATTATGGCTACGCTGCTCTGATCTTGCCTTGTCCTTTTCGCTTTCAAGTTTTGGTTTTCTGTCCTTGTGACTGCTGGCCACCTCTTTTTCCCTTTCCTCTGACCCCCCTGTGGGGCCCCACGGTCCAGGCTGGTTTACGTCATGCGTCCATCGGACATTATTTTACGGAGCTGAACGTGTTGTACCGCTGTGTGACATTCTCGGCAATAATAGTTCAGTTCATTCCAGCAGAGTATTTTCTGTAATTACAAAATGTAATTTATTTTTGTATTTACATTTTATTGATATTTTATTTTAACAGCTAATATTGGTATGTATCTTTGACTATTATATTTCTTATACAGTTACCATTAGCATATTTTTAAAGTGTTCGTATTTTATAGCTTATGTCTCTTCAATGCCAATTATCATACCGAAGCATTAATTTGTCAATAACTGATCAAAGAGACAGCGGAAACTGAGTATAAACTCAGAAAAGAGTAGTTCAGTTTCTGTGAGCCTTTAACCACTTAGACTATCGATAGATAGAATTATTTCTTCAAGTAAAATAAAAATAAGAAAAAAAAATGCAGTCATAATTTTAAATGAAGCTGCAGATTGAAATATGTTTTACTACAGTACATGGAATAAAAAATTATAAAAATTTAAAAATATGATACTAATAAAACAACATGAAAATAAAATTCCATTTAAAATTTTTTTTGCAGATTAGGTAATTAGAGGATATAACATATTCTTAAATGTGTAACTTGTGTAGTTTGAAGGGGTAATTAATAAGCAGACCCTGCAGATTCACGTGTTCACTGACAATACACATTCAGACGCTACATGTATTTTATGTATATGTTGTTATTTTAATTATAGAATATTTCAAATAACAAAGAATTATTTGGTTACACTGGGCTTTAAGCAGCATTTTTCATGTATATCTTTTCTCTACAATAGTAGAGGCTCATATTAGGGTATGGTCTAATATAATTCAATTAAGACAATAACACTCGTACAATATTTACTCACAAATAATGTCTTTCAGATCTAATTTATTACTCAGTTCATATTCAATGGTCAGCATTGCTAATCTATTAGGATAATTTTATGTAGACACGATTTTTAAGTAATTCATTATTTTTAGTTCAGAAAAAGGTCTTTCGCTGGTAGAAACAGTTTTGATGGAGTTAGAGAAATTCTTAAAGCAATGCTTAAATTTGGTCCAATGTTAAGAGGAGGTAATGTTTGAGGATTCCATGAACATATTCCTCCATTTTTGGGTTTAATTCAGCTAGCACTTGAATTAACTTCAGAAAATTTTTATTATTATGTTCATAAAGCTTCTTGCTTGTATTCAAAGACTAGAGAACTTTCAACAAGCAGTTTAATAACTGACATTATGCATAAAATTATATCATGTTAATATTTAATTTCAGAATAAATTCGTCTTTGTGCAGCTGAATCTATTGTCTGAAAAGTTTCAAATTTTTGTTTCCATGGTTTAAAATTATATGTGTTTCTGAGTCTTTATTCTTTCTTAAAATCTCACCAATATTTTTCCAGTTCCTATAACCCTCATTTTAAAACAAACTCAATTTTGAATTACTAAAAAGGTCTGCAACAAAAGCAAGAACACGAAACCGTTTGACATTGGATATACCAGTCAATCTCTTGACACATGTTCTCCATTTTTTTAATGTTTAAATCATCAGGTCAGAATCCTGAGTGTAATGGCAGAGTTTGGTGAGGCCTCTTTCATTTCCCATGGTAGTATCCATTGTTCTGAAACCTAGGAGATTATTCCTATCTGGAACAACTCCCAATTTCTTCATTAACATTGCTCTCGTCTTGATAATTAGAATCCAAATCAGAATTTATAGTAGTGTCACTTAGTTATAGATAATCATTTAGTTCTTTAATTTGTTTGGAACTACTTGCATTTTGCATAAGCTATGCAATGCTCTTGATTGCTTTTGAAGCTGGGTTTGTTTCTCCACCTTTTTTTATATTGATTACGAGACAGTCTTTTCTTTGTCTGCATTCTAAAACAAAAAGCTAGTAATTGGATGAGGTTAATCAGACATTCAAAACTGAATATACATAGTATGTTAATGCATGAAATATGCAGATTGACAGTATGATGTGCAATGGAAGCATATTGGAATTCTGGTTTGTAGTGATGTTGAAAATGAATGTGGTTTCTGAGAATGATCAGTATTCAAGTATCAGTAGTTATGGTTAAAAGGCATAATTTTAAGTGAGGGTCAGAAGTGGCGAGTAATTGGTAGAATTGAGAGGGGTCAAGCACAAATGGATGTCACCAGTTTGCCCAGCATTTGAATATTCCTCAAAGTGTCATATCAAAAGTTTGTGCCACTTTTTAAGCATTGGATCAGTTGATAGACAGCCTGGTCAAGGGCAACCAAGGGCAACAACTGCTCAGATCATTTTCTGTCGTTTTGAATGCAAAGTAACCATGAAGCAACTACAAGAGATTTGGTTTTGGATGACAAAAGGCTGCACCAAGCTTGTGTATCTTTCAAGGAGGTTCTGTAAACTGTTCAGAGGTGCTGTTCGTCCAGAGTTTTTGCTAATGGATGGCAATGCTCAGTCTGAGCATATGTGGTATCGGAATACTTGCAAACAGAAGATTTCGCTCAAATAGATTGGCCATCTTACTCACTTGACTTGAACCCAGTTGTGCATGTTGTTAAGGCACCAAATTCCTCCCCAGACTCTCCAATAGCTGAAAAATGCATTTTTTAGAGAAGTGACGTGTAATTCCACTAGACTTGATTAACATTTTGGTTAAAGTCTATGAAATCAAGATGTGTGTATACATATCTATCTGAGGTGACCTTACACCATATTAAAGAAAATGTTCCCCCCCCCCAAGAGGTGACTTAGATTTTCCATCATTTTCCAATTTCCATAAATTTGATTTTAATTTCAATATTTTGTGAATAATCAACTGCCAGACTTTGTAATTTATGTTAACTAATCCTTTTATACAAATTTCTATTAATAATATTTAAGTGTCAGTTACATTTTATTTCTATCATTATCCTTTAATTTTGATGACTAGTGTATAATTCAGTGAAATGTTGAAGGTTAATGATGTGTTATTAAATATTTCACTTTGTTTTGCAGGCATTAATACTTGACAGTCGTTCTTTTCTTGAATACAATGCCTCTCATGTTGTTAATGCTATAAATGTTGGCTGTGCTAAACTTATGAAAAGACGCCTACAGCAAGAAAAGGTATTTTTACATTTTGTAACTATAAGAAATTAATTTATTGTGTCTATATACTGTGAACATATGAAATTTGTTTGTTATTATTTTTAGTGGTGACTAAATTCTTTTTATTTAATAGCAATGAATGAAATTTATTATTTCATTAAAATACTTTTTAAGATAAATATAAATATCAACAATTCTTATTTCAAATGTGAAATTAAAAATTAAGATTATAATGTATAATATTTATACCATTGTGAAAATCTAAACGATGACATTCCTTTGCTTCATTAATATTGCATTTGTATGTTAAAACCCATAGTTATTGAATATATGTCATATTCCCTTTCTTTTTCAGATAAGCATTGAAGACTTTTTGGCTCAAAACTGCCACTGGGAAGTTGATAGAAGCATTGATATAATTGTTTATGATCAGAATACTCGAGATGCCAAATGCCTTCTCCCTGACAGTTTCATGGCGGTTTTCCTTCAAAAACTTTTACCTGTCTACAATAGTGTAAACATTTTAAAAGGTATTTGAAAACTTTTAAATGTGTATCTTAAACAGATTAAATCTTAAAGAGGTATTGTTATTCTCAGCTTACAATAAACTTTCACTTAGTAAATAAAAATTACTGCTTATCACTAATAGATAAATATACTGTTACATTTTTTTATGATACCAGTTGTTATGTTATTTTCTTTCTTCATGTTACGTACGGAGTTCATAGATTTGGAGTGAATAACAACGACACTTGATGAGGTATTGAAACATACTTTATTTGCCAGTATTGTCAGGATAGCTCCAAAACACATTTTACGGTCCTCGATGAACTACTATAAACACGCTGACGCGATCAGCGACACAGCCTTCAGGTTATCAGGCTGTCACGGTGGAGACAGCTTTACCACAAAGCACCAGAGTACAGCTTCCGACTCTCCCTGGTCATTCTCGGAACTCCACGTATTCTCAAGATTCTCCACGCTACAACTCGCGATGCACTCGACAACACACGAGCACAGTTCCCAACTCTTCAGTTCAGTCATGCCCGGAGCTCAACACGCTCTCTGGATGATGCACTAACCGCGATATGCTACGAGACTCTTGCGCTGCACTTGACGGGACACTCGGCACTCGTTGCCCGGCTGTCAACTCGATCCATTTTGCAGGGACTGACTCGCTAGACGAGACACACACACACTAACTGATGGTGACCAGCAGAGTTTATATAGCTCTAGGCTTGTGTTCGAGCACATTCTGGGCTAAACCGGTAAGAATTCGTTCCAGATGATTCTCCATCCTTCCATAGTATATCGCCAAATGTGGCAATCCTGCCTCCCCTTGCCATTTTATGGCAACCCTAAAACTGCTTTGCGAGGAAGCTATCTTACCGCGTCTGTGCATTTTGTAACACTGCCCCCTCCCAAGGATTGCACGTCCCGGGCAGTACAACCTTTGGTCAGAAGCCAACTTTCATACTAACAAAACGTTGTAAAACAAACAAATAGCATAACTAAAGAAACAAATATTTACACTATGTACAAGTTATATACACAAATTTAACACATAACAATTTTAAATTTCTACAAAATTAAAGTTCAGAATGAATTTCAGTCTGTCTTTTCATTAAAATATACCGGATCAAATACCTTTCCACTGTAGTTCTCAGATGTATTTCTGTTTTGCATATCACAGTTTGAAGATTCAGTCCTTTCAGACTTGTTATCCACAGGAAGATGTGAAACAGTTTGTTCACTACTCTGTAGCTCATTCGCAGCATGCGTACAGTTCATCTCGTTATTTTCAGCAATTGGTACAGGCTTATTTTCCTCTATTTCCTGAAAACCAGTCCCGATGTTTGCATTAGAGTCGCTAATGGAACCCGATTCTTCGCAAACACAATTATTCTCGCTTAAAATCAAGTTCGTGTCAGTGCAACTTGTATTAGGAGACACATCTCAGTTTGTGAAATGGGAGAATCTTCTTGCAATACTGGAGCGCACTGCCTAAGCTGTATATCAGCTTCTTCATTCTGTGCATCACATGCACTTTCAGATGGTTCAATTTTTGCTAACTGCGACTTCATAATTTCACTATCAATTTCGACGAACTTAACAGTCGCATTTTCATTTTCTTCCACTTCCAGGCACTTGAGAATCAAAAGCTTCTTTTGCGTCTTTTATTTCTTTATGTTTCTGTTCTGTTTCTTTAATCCCGTTAGATGTTTCATCCTTCATTTCTGGATATTTCTCAGACAGTTCATTAGCTACTTTCTTCATTTCTTCATCCTTTGATTCTTCAGAAGCCACTTCTCTCATATCCACATCGTCTTTTATGGATCCAGTTTCTTCTGTAAGCTCCACTTTCGCATGTTGGAGTTGCTCTCGCACCTTTTCTTGGCCGCCATTTATCTCTTCTCATCGGTCTTTCTTCTCTTCTAGTCCGGCTTTGATCTCAGCTGTCATTTCTTTATATCCAGCTTTTATCTCTTTACATCCAGCTTTTATCTCTTTACATCCAGCTTTTATCTCATCATATTCGGCTTTTATCTCAGCACATCCGGCTTTTATTTCAGCATATGTGGCTTTTATCTCGGCTAAGAAGCCCATCAAAGTCTTCGTTTCCTCCGCCATGGCTTTCCTCTGCAGGCGGGTCTGCAGGCATTCACTCGCAAATCCTACTTCTGACACCAGTTGCTGTGTTTTTTCTGGCACCATTTGTTACGTTATTTTCTTTCTTCTTCACATTATGTACAGGGTTCGTAGATTTGGAGTGAATAACGAGGACACTTGATGAAGTATCGAAACACGCTTTATTTGCCAGTATTGTCAGGACAGCTCCAAAACTCGTTTTACAGTCGTCGATGAACTATTATAAACACGATCATTGACACAGCCTTCAGGTTATCAGGCTGTCACGGTGGAGACAGCTTCTTGCAAAACACCGCGACTCTGCTTTCTGGAAGTACAGCTCCCGATTTTGCTTGGTCATTCTCGGAACTCCATGTACTCTTGAGACTCTCCATGCTACAACAACTCGCAATGCACTCGACAACACACGAGCACAGCTCCAAACTCTTCGGTTCAATGCCGTTCCAGCGGAGCTCGACAATACGCTAACTGCGATAGACTAATGAGACTCTTGCGGTGCACTCGGCGACCCACTCGGCACTCGCTGCCCGCCTGTCAACTTGATCCACTCCACATGGACTGACTCGCTAGACGAGACACACACACTAACTGACGGTGACCAGCAGAGTTTCCATAGCTTTCGGCTTGTGTTCGAGAACATTCTGGGCTAAACCGGTACAAATTCGTTTAGAAGGTTCTCCATCCTTCCATAGTATATCGCCAATTTTGTCTCCAAATGGGCGATTTCTTGCCAAATGTGGCAACCCTGCCTTCCCTTGCCGTTTTATGGCAACCCTAAAACTGCTCTATCTTACTGCGCCTGTACAGCTGTACATTTCGTAACAATACTGACATGGCTCAGTCTATGCAAGTAAGATCGAAGAACACTGCTTAGTAAATGGCTGCACTGTAGTTTATCTGTGAATGCACTGTAGGTCATTTTATTCCATGCTATGATTGCTCTGTATTCTCAAAATTTGGCCAAATTATTTTTCATATAAATAGTAGCATAATAGCCAAAATATTTTATATGCCAAGATCAATGTTAAATGTAAATTGTTTGTGAAGGCATATTAAATTTTTCTGATTCATTGAATAATTTAGATATTTTGTATTATAATATTTTTTGCATGTGTAGTTTCTTTCTACATAATTAGTAAATTTGTTGCAACTTGTGTTTCATTGTACTTTAATTTATATTTGATATGATTGTGACTTCCATTTTTCAGTATTTTTCTCATTTTTGTTCATTATCTTTTATTGTTAATATTATGTAAAAGAGCTTTATTGCCATATTTTTTAGCATTTTTTTAAAGCATGATTTAATATGATTGTATGGAATTAAGAGACTAGAAATTTTTTTTCTTTTTCTTTTTTAATCTGATTGATTAAAATAAAATGCATTTAGTTCATGATATATGTAATTAAAAACATTAAATATTTTTATAGAATTGTATTACATATTTTTTCACATTTCACATACAAAAAAAAAAAAAAATTTTTTTTCCCCCATTCCCTTACATTTTTCTTTCTAATTCAAGCAGTGTTTCTCAGTTTTTTTCACTCTTATGAAACCCTTGTGATAATGTTCAAGTTCTAGGGAATCCCAGCATTTGTGTAACAATATTTTTTAATATTTTTGTTAATGATCATCAATGGAAACAAAAAATGACTATATTATTGTTTATTAAGAAAATTCCAATTACATGCAATTCATATAATTTTAAACATAATTAGGTATAGTTAAATAATAAATTTCTTTAGTGTAACTGTTTGTGACAAATATTAATGTGAAATCTGTGCCTTTGTTTTTGAATATAAATGTTGAATTCGTTGTCTTATTTTCAATATACATAAGTGGAATTCATCTTGCACAAGAAAAAGATGATTTCTATCCTTGCTCTTAATACTTTTTTTTATGTTGAAACTTGCAGTACTATATTAATTGCTTTCCTATGAATTGTTGGATACTTACTTTCAACTGAAATGCAGCATTTATCCAAAACCACGTCATTAAATTTCATTTTCAATATACCATCCAATTGTAAGTTACCTTCTTCTATTTTTAAAGTTAAGTTATTGAGGATGGACAGAAATGCAAAAGAATGGATTCCTCATCCAATCGTGTAATTCTGTTGACACGGATGAAAAATAACAATAAATTTACTTCGACAGCTCCTAGGTGGGATAAAATAAAAATTGAAATTTATTGGCATCCATCTTCACTTTTTTGTTCTACCAGTAATTCAAGCATATCAAGATTCTCTTTTACAACATGATCTGTCCATAAGTTTAATTTTTTTAAACCCAAGAAACTTGTTAGTTGAAGTGAGTATATTTTCTCCATTCCTTTGCAGTAACTTCATCTGCCTTTATCTGATTCAAGTGATGAAAAATATCTGCTAAATCTGCTAGTATCTGCATCCACGTTTGATCCTCAAAGCATTTAGTAATATCTTGTTTGTTGTTTTGTTGAAAATATGCACATATTTCTTCCTGTGGCTCAAAAACCCCATTAAAAGCTCTACTTATCAGATTTCAGTGTGTAACAACAGATTATTTGTATGTTCTTTATCCATGTTTTCACTTAGCATTTTAAAAATTCTCAGGTGAAGTGGTTTTTGTTGAATGAAGTTTTCCATTTGTATAACATCATCAAATACCTTTTATAGTTCATTGCCAAGAGATTGACACCATCACCTCTCTATGAGTAAAACAGTGTCTGGAAACTACTTTTTCATTTTTTTCTGTTACAAGAGTAAAAAAAGCCTTCTGTATAGAGCTAATCATGGATGCAGCACCATCCATACAAATGCCAATACAATTCTTCCAAGAAAGATAGTCTCTTTTTAGATAGGCATGTAATAGAGTTCAAAGTCTTTAATCCGGAATGATCTATAATCCGGACCTCAAAAGCTTCAAACTTTCTGCGCATGCATAGCGTTTACGCATGCGCATAATATGTTTACGCATACGCATTTAATGTATAACGGACGGTATAAGCTAGGCTAAAACTATCTAGTTCAGTTAATGTTGCAGATTGCATTCTTCCTTAATCTTCTAATTGGATCCGGCTTATTATTTTTTGCAGATTGTTAGAGCAATTTTATCAAAAGTAAGCTTGAACTTTCGATTATGTCAAAAAGAGTTTCCAATTCAGGAGCTGCCAAAGGATCTACAAAGCGAAAGCATGTTTGGATGTCCATCAAACAAAAAGTGGAATTGCTGCAAAAAAAAAAAAAAAAAAAAAAAAAATGGATAAAGGCATGAAGAAAGTGACAGAGAGGTTAGTGAAAATGAAAAAATTTCGGTTGACAAGTTAGTTGGTATTCTCAGCACAGCAATTACAGGACTTGAACAGTGGAACTTTGTAACTGAACAAGAGATTATGTCTGTTTATAGAATTAAAGAGAAAGTATTAGCACGTATAATTAAGCAACTTAAACAACTTACGTTGAAAGAAATGTTTAATAAAGTAAACAAATAAATATTAAGTTTTTTTTTTTTTTTTTTTTTTTTTTTTTTTTTTTTTTAGTTTTGATACCCTTTAGATCGTAATTGCTCTTTATTTCATAAAATACGATTTCATATTTTTAAATTTTATAATTTATGCATGCCATCTTACCAGATTTAAATTGATGATCTATAATCCGGAAAAAAACCTAATCCGGAAACGCGGAAGTCCCGACGAGTCCGGATTAAAGATTTTGTACTGTATATTAAATATATCTAATCCTTTGCTTTTCTGAAGTAATTCTTTACAGAAGAGGAAGTTTTCTAGAATTTCTCCCTCAGAAACAAATCTTACAAATGCTAGAACATTTGTTGGTTAAATCTCTCAACTCATCCACTTGAATTGAAAATTGCCATTTTTTTCCCTCTTCATCATACAAAATCTTTTCAACATCGTGTGACATATCATTGATTTGTCAACTTGCTGTATTGTTCTAGACTGGAGTATTTTCAGTTTTCCTTTCTGATCTTCTTTCAGTATTTACCCTGTATAATTTTACTTGCAGGTATTATCAGATGTCACCAGTTGTATAACTTTTCCTTTTCTGCTCGATAACCTTTGCTACCATGTAACTTGCTTCCTGAGCCTTTTCACTAATTGTGAATATGTTTACAAAAACTGTACTCTGTTTACTTTGAGACTGTAACAGAGTTTTAAAACAATTAATAATTTTCTATTTTTTATATTAGTTTGATTTGTCATAAAATGTGGATTTAATTTGTTGGATCCGTTGCTATATTCGAAAGTTCACCACAAACGAGACAGAGTAGAAAAGGTCATTCTAGATTAACAGTTCATGTGAAGCCTATTGATAAATAACTTTCATTGTAAAGAACTTTCTTTGCACCTCTTTCTTTACCAGTTTTTTGAAATTTTATATGACACTTTAAATCTTTAACTATAGTCTCTTCAAAATTATCTGGATTGTTTGTCTTCAGGTATTGTCATATTTTAATCATTAAAATCTAGGGAATGATTAAAAAATAAGGGCCAAAACCAAGTAAAATACTAAAAAAAGGAGTAAAATAGAAAGACATTAGCACTCTGTTTAACCATATGATCCTACACTTTTTGCATCACTAATGCATATGCAGTCGCACTAGATTCTAGTCCGTGACAATTGAAAAGCTGCCTTTTATTGTTCGGCTATGTTCAGATAGACTTGTGTTGCATGCATATGTACAGCTTAATGAAAATTGCTAAAAAATAAGTTAGTCATTTAACTTAAAAAAAAAATATATATATATATGACTCTTTTTTACAATTGGGTTGATAATGCAAGGAACAAAGAAATTCATACAACTCTAGACATCTGATAAGTTGTATAGCTGAACAACCAAAGGCAGCTTTTCAGTTATCACCCACTTGATTCTTGTCCCAATCACACCCGCTTCTCCCACCATAATTACCTAAGTGCAGTTCTGAACTAGGGAAAAAAATTGTCTTCTCTTTTATGACACATGTGTTATTTCCCTATTTCTGGCAGAACCCTCAACAGTGTTTTGTGAGTCCAAGGATTATTGGAAGCTGGTTGGGAAATGCTGATACAGATCATACAACATAATCACAGTGGTGGAGTAGAGGAGCAGTATTTAACTTATAAACAATTTTTTATGGATTTTATCCCTTATATTTATTATATGTGATTTCTACCATATCACATGATATAGCTATATATGAATAAACAATTAACTATCAGTTTTATTAATATTTTTTTTAATCACTGAAGTCTTAATTATGCTGATCAGTTGCCAATACATATTTGAGTATTGACCACCTTTAAAATTTCATGGACTCCTAGGAAGTCTATGCCAATGCCATTGGGAACTCCTGGTCAAAATGTGCTATATTCATCTAGTATCTCATAAAATGTTTCGCTATTCTATCTCTGTTATAATCTGCTGATAAACTGTATTAAAATTTAAAAGAGGCCTTTTGAGCAACAGTTAAAATCTTAACCCTTTCAGATTTTAATTTTATTTTATTATCAGCCTGAAAATTTTCCAAACAGTAAATTCAATCTTGCATTTTTTATTATTAGTGTTGTCACCTGCAATAAGTGGTATGAACCAAAGTATTGCCATATTTTGTGAACTATTCTGTATATATACATGTATGTATATCTATCTATACATGCAAACAAATATAATTAATCATTTATGATAATCATACCTATTTCTGATGCAGGTGGATTCCTTGAATTTCAAGCCGCCTATCCTCATCTTTGTGAAGATGAAAGAACAAAATATGCACCTTTAACTTCATTATCTCAGCCTTGCCTCCCAGTTACTAATCATGGACCCACTAAGATTTTGCCATTTCTGTACTTGGGTTCACAACATGATGCACTCAATCAAGAAATTCTTCAAGTAAGTGCAGTAGATCTAATTTTGCCTTATATATGAATACTACACATTTATTAAATTAGACATATTAAAGTTTTTAAATATCGATAGTAATTAACTGCATATTTTCCAGAGATGTTTGAAAATCACGTATGTTCAATTGATAATTTTTCCTTAATTCTTGAGCTGTTCTTGAGCTGATTCTTTAATTCTTGAGCTGAAATAATGTTGCATTATGTTCCACTAATGCAGAATACTATCAGCATGTAAAAGCTAAGGACATAATCAAATTGCAGTCATCTTTCTTCATGTCAAGAATTTCGACTTTGTGCCTTAATGTTTGATTAATCACTTTATTAAACTTTATTAAACTGCTTAATCACTTTATTAAACTGCTTGCAACAGAAAGATGTGATGAAATAATTGAACTTATTCTTTCATGTGTTCGATCTTTTTTTTTTTTTTTTTACTTATTGAATGGTGGAATGAATTATGTTGACAATAAGATTATCTTTTTTTTGGGGGAAGGGGGCAAGTTTTAATTTACATGTAATTCTGCATATTTGTGTTTTATTTCATGTTAGATTTCCTCAATTTTTAATTTTTATTCCTAATTATCTGTCAAAACTTATAAGATACCTATTCTTTTTATCTTTGCAGCATTACAATATTACATACCAACTAAATGTGAGTACAACCTGCCCCAAACCTGATTTTATTCAAGAGTCTCATTTCTTAAGAATACCTGTGATTGATAATTACAGTGAGAAACTGCTACCTCATTTCCCTAAAGCCTTTCAGTTCCTTGGTAATTATACATTTCTTTTATAAAAATTTACTTGTTATGATTTTTGCTTGTGGGGGGGGATAAAAAATAATTTTTGTTTTTCTGTTCAAAAGAATTTGTCACTTACATATTAATGCTTCCATCTTAGAACCTGCCAAATTGTCAGAATGCATAACTTTCACAGCAATGTCTGTTTTAGCAAGCAATGTTCCTACTTTCATATGTATTCTTTTTGTGGCCTCCAGTCAGGAGAATTTTAAACGTGTACTTGAAAGATGTAAAAATTCCTTTGTAATTAGATCTATTCTCATTTTTAGTTAAATACCTAATTGAAACATGAAATGCATATGCAATAATATGTATAATAAATAATTTTTAGCTATTTTAAGCCGTCGCACTTTTTCTTCTGTAAAAAGTAGCCAAACTGCACCAGAGTGACCCATGAGACATTTATACTATAAAAAGAAAGGGGTAAATTCAACTAAAGAGTTTTTATTCATTTATTATTATGATAGTAATACTAAGTTGGACTGATAACAATTATATGTAAAGAGAAGACACAAAAAGAAAAAAGACAAAAACATTTTTTATAAATAAAAATTTTTTATATATATATATATATATATACATATACAAGAGAAAACATATAGAAGTATACCAAAAATTAAAAACAAAAATTTAACTAGTCCTGCACTATAGTAGCAGGATTTAAGGAAAATAAACTTAAAGCATCAAAAGTAAAATTAAATTGGAATCGAAACAAGGCAATTCTCCATCAATATTAATAATTGCAGCTGTGGATAAGAGGTCACACATCTAAACAAATCAAAATTAATATAAGAATTCATCAGTAGAATATCATGTTATGTCTCGAATAATAATAAGGAATGCTTACTAGCAAGTATTGGTATGCGATAGAGGCAGGATCATTGCCTATTGAGAGTGTGGATTATCGTTACATCATATCACCCGTTACATTACTGGTCAACATCCAACCACTGTCATGCGAATATGGAATAAAGGGGTTGCTGATAGTTATATTGCACGGCATGGACGATCTCAATGCCCTTCTATGACTAATGCCCGAGAGGACAGATGTATTGTGAGGTGAGCCCTACAAAACCATACAACCACATCGTGGACCAATAGTTAGGAAATGGGCATGTTTGCAACATGCGTAGTATCCGCTCAATGGAACAGCCATGTGGACTATCAACACGATGACCATTACTTTGGCTTCCTTTGACAATGCAGCACAGAGAGAGACGGCGATTCGGGTATGCCGAATGACAAAGCTTGATACAGGAGTGGCACAATGTCGTCTTTTCAGACAAGTCCCGGTTCTTTATGCAGTATTCTGATGGCCGTATACGTGTCTGGAGGCTGCTAGGAGACCGCACGTCACCTGCTTGGATTCGATATAGGCATAGGGGGCGTTGCACCTAGAGTAATGGTTTGGGCAGCCATTGGGTTCATAACACACACATCTCTAGTTCAGATCAGAGGCGTAGCTAAGGTTTTCTGAGCTCGGGGACAACTGGAGATTTTGCGCCCCTTTCTGTTTGCCATGAATGGAAAACACTTTATTCTAAAATTTTGTACCAACAATTTGGCGCTCCCTGGATGCTGCGCCCGGAGACAGATGTCCCCCCTTTTCCCACCCTAGCTACGCCACTTGTTCAGATCGATGATAATTTGAAAGCAGATTGGTAAATTTCTGAAATTTTATGTCTAGTGGTTGTGCCCTATTTTCGAGGGTGCCAAACACCATCTTCCAACAAGATAATGCAAGACCACATGTTGCACGTTGTGTTCTGACATTCCTCGATGAGTATTTGATTGCTGCCCTGGCCTGTATATTCTGGCCCGCCACCTTTTCTCCAGCTAATAATGAAGTAGATTTAAAGCAGCATGGAATGAGTTGCCCGTTTCTGTCATCCAAGCCCATTTCAACTTCATGCCTAACCAGGTAAGGGCCAGTTTAGGTGCCAAGGGTGGCAGCTGTTTCTACTAATTGTGCACCCCTGTAAACTCCCAAACTGGTTACAAATTTAATCATTTTATCTTCATGTCATATTCTTTACATACAATAAATATCTTAATTGTATTTGCTTTCCTTCATGCTATTGCAATTTTAATGGCCAGCAGTGTATATATATATCTGTTATGTATATGCAGGGTGTTCGGGATAAATTTGACGGTTTCATAAGGAAAAAAAAAAAATCCGCATGTATGAGTAGTAACGAAGGTCTTCATTGAGTACAAGCTTCATAGTAGAGGCCTCACATTCTTTCACTGACAAGTCGAATTTTCAATGCCAGGTTTCTTCAACCTGTTCCGGGGATTGCGAGGATTACGTAGAAAAATCAGATCGTCTGCGGGATCTTTCTTCTTGCTACATCCTCGTAGTCACCATTGCAAGTCTTAGTTCATGCCTAATTGTTTTTACTGTGTTCGAGAGCATTGGGCGCAGTCATAATATTCTTATTTTTGATGACCGCACAAATCATCATGATGTAAGTTATTTTCTTCCATGATTTCAGGTAGGTTGCCGTCATCCATCCTTTCTGACTTTTTATATGAAGAAGGGTCCAAACTTTTAAATGACGAGTAGTGTGTGTCAATACCTCCAACCTACGGAAAAATATAATCAATTTTAAATATGTCAAATTTATCTCGAACACCCTGTGTAGTAAATTCTGTAAATATCTTGAGTATTGGGCAATAGTAATTTGATGATGATTGAATGATGCATAATGAAGGAGAGGCCATAGATTCATTCTTCATGTGGCTGAAGACAAAACGTAATTAATTGCTGGAAACTTAATTCTTGCAATACATGTTCTTGTGTACACATTATTATAGGTGCAATAAGTACCCTACAATTTTTGGAAGTTTACATTTTCAGACAGTGGACAATACACAATGATTAACTGCAATGTATTAGGAGAGCAAGGCCAAGCAGGGAACTAAGTATGCATTTAGCAGCAGTGATTTTGATTTGTGATTGAATAAAAAGCACCCACAGCACACCACATGGGATGCAATGATAGATTCATATAGTGTTAGCTTTCATTTGCTAGCTATATTGTTAGCATTTATATATTATTCACTTTAGATTAATAAATTGTTAGAAGTTTTAGGATGGGAAGGGAAAGTAGCCAAATTAAAATGAGGAATTAAAAGGGACTATTGACAAATTAAAGTTAGTAATTTCCTTTCATATTTTATGGTCTTACTCACTTACGTATATGTACAAAACAATTATTTTGAAAACAAAACACAGACATGCCTAGTATTTTTGCACATAAACTAAAGAAAAATTATCATTAAAGACATAAAGTAAGAAATTTAGAACTAATATTTCACAAAGACCAGAAATTGAAATTCATAATTAATTTCAAATAAACATAGAAATACAACAAAGAATTTTAAAATGTTAAAACCAAAACATTTCAAGCAAGCAAAATCAACACCAAGTTTCAAAATCAACTTTTTAAACAAGTCAGAGGATTGCCAATGGGCTTACATTCCAGTCCTCGATCTGTAATATCTTTTTATTTTATCAAAGTATTTAACTTCAAAAAAATCTACAACACAAGAGTTAAATTACTACAAAACCACACCTACAGATATATTGATGACCTTATTACAATTAATAATTTTGGTAAAATTGAACACTCCGAGATTTATCCAAATTGTCTTACACTTAATAAAACTATTAATTCACAAAATAGCATAGACTTTCTAGATCTTCAAATCATTAACTACAAAAAAGTTTTACTTTTTGACAAAACAAGAAATTTCAATTTCAATACTAACAAATTAATAAATTGGAACTCCAACATATCCAAAAAAGTACAGTAAGACCCCACTTAACGCTGTTTCGTTTAGCGCTGTTCCAGTTTAGCGCTCTTTTATTTAAACCCGGGATTTCACGAAATCGCTTGCAAGCATACGGGATTCCCCGAAATATATGCCATAGGTTTCCAAATACATATCCGAAGAGTGTCTTGTATTTGTTTGGGGCGGTATTGTAAGACATTTTGAAGGGGTAATGTGGGAGATGTCGAAGAAATAATTCAAGAAGCGTCGGCTAGCTTTCATGAATGAGCTCAGAATTAACTCAGAAGAAAACAAAATGTTGACACAGTGATTCAAAGAAAAGGCAAAGAACTTCGATAGCGTTTGTAAAAAGGTTTGTCTACGATATGAAATAATGATCATTCATTGAAAATACCGATTTTGACAGGAGCTCAAAGTAAGGCGTGGTTGTTAGAGTGCTCTATCCCTTTTGAAAATTTTAAGAGAACAACGCAAAAAAAAAGGCACAACATTAGATGCTTTTGTCACAAAAAGGCGAACACTGAAAAACGCGAAGGCTAACTAAATATGACTGACTGAGAATTTTTTTTTTTTTTTTTTAAGAACCGTTTTTTTTATTTATATTTGTTTTTATTTTTGCAAGAATAATAATGTGGTATTAATTTGGGCTTTAAGAATAAAGTTTGGTTTTTTTTTATAAAAAACATACTTTTTAAATTTTAATACCTCACCAATTTCCTAGCCATCTTACCTACCCCAATATTCACTTAAAAATACCTCGTTAGCGCTTTCCATTACGCTACTTTGATGGAACGTAATCCCCCGCGTTAAGTGGGATCTTACTGTAATTCACATTAATAATCAAATAACTTAAAATATCACAGATACAATAGATTTACAATGCGAAATTTTGCTCCTTATAAAATTCTCAAAATAATCGACTACCCATTCAGTTATTTACCATTGCCTTAAAGAGCAGGCGTACAAAATCCTTTTTGTTTCTGTGTCTAGAATTAGCTGATGAACCATTTAATGTATTTTAATTATAACAGTTCACCACCCAAATTTCTGGCCCTTTTCCCAAAAAGAAAAATTCAATTAAACTTTACTTAAATAAAGAAAATTCTATTTTGTTTAAGATTGAAACCAAACTGAAATTAAAATAACATATTCACATATCTAAAATATTTTAAACTTAGTGAAATTATAAATTTAGGTAGAAAATAAGGGAAAAATTCAATTAGAACTTAAGTAAGAAATTATATTTGTTTAAAAATTTAAACCGCAAGTAATAATTTAAATCTTCATGGAAAAAATAAATCAATTTTACCTTAAACATATCTCACTAATCCGAGTATTTTAAACTTTAGTGAAATTATAAAACTTTGGTGAGAAAAACTTAATTAAAACTCACAAGAATTGTGAGAAAGTATACTGGAGGTTAAAATTTGGAACATGAGGATTTTAATTATTTATTTTCTTTTTGGTAAAATAATTTTTTTTTTTCTGCAAACTATGCCTTAGAAACATTTTTGAAAAACATTTTAAACATAGATGTTCTTAAGGAGTTTTTTTTTTTTTTTTTTTTTTTTTTTTTTTTTTTTTTTTTTTTTTTTTTTTAAAGTTGATCAAGAGATACTCTTAGCCACTTTGTAAAAATTTTCTTATCTAATGGAATTGTTTGGAGGTTATTAACAGCATGATTTTTAGGGAAGTGTTTTATTAATAAAGCTTCATAAATTTGTGAAAGTATATTACATTTTATACATCTTTGTACACTTAAAATGCAAATTTGTATGTTTGTGTAGGTGTCTGAAAGTATATTACATTCAGACACCTACACAAACATACAAAATTTGCATTTTAAGTGTACAAAAATGATATGTAACAAGAAGCTAATATAAAATTATGGAATGCAGATATGCTAGGTTTAGTTTTTTAAAAATTACTTGCTTAGAAGAAAAACTTTTTTTAGGAATGCTTATTATGACTGAGCAATGAATTTAAGTAGATTTTTGTCGCTTATTTTTTCTAAGTGCCCGAAGGATTTGCATATTATTTAAAGTTTGTAGGCTTTATATTTAATAAATGTACATTATAAGCCATTTTTAGCTACATTATAAGCCATATTACATTCATCTAAATTAATTTAAGTTTTTTGAAAAGCTGGATACTGTTCTGGATTAGCTTTCTGCATTCAAAATTATGAAAAAAAATTTAAAATATAAATAAATTAATTATTTCGACTTATTAGAGCAAGTGGCCCAGATTATTGGCAATTCAGATATCTGGAGTATACATAATTTGACTTATGTTATAATGGATCTGACAGAAACACATCAATTTGAATCAAATATTTCACATTTATTGTATGCACAGTTTTACTTCGTGAAAATCATATAAATCGAATTTACTTAGATAAAGTTAAAGAATCTGGTGGAAGCGTTCTTGTGCATTGCTTAGCTGGGATATCAAGGTCTGCTACAGTTGCAATAGCTTATGTTATGAAGACCCTTAAAATGAGCTCAGATGACGCTTACAGGTTAGACATCTTATTTTATTTTTAAATTGTTAGAATTTTTTATATATAATCTTATATAATTGTATGATGATGTTATCCTTTAACTGTATTTTCTATTAGAATGTGCAAAAAATAGCTCATGCAAATTTTCTGTAATTTTCTATTTATTTCACTTTTTTTTTCACTTTCACTGGTTTGACAAGTAAGTAATTTTCATTTAAATTGAAACAGACATATGATGTAAGAATACTGGTAAAACTGCAGCGTTACAGATGCTCCAGTCGGTGCTAAAAATGTGTTCAGCTTGAAACTTCTGCAGAAGCTTAAAATTCCGCTACTTTGCATAAATTGCTAAGCCAAAATCAGAATTTTAGATGGTTCCGTAAATTTTAATTTTTAAGAACAATAAAAATTAAAGAAACAATAACAGATTATTTTCTGAAAAATAATAGATAATTTTTTGTTTTTCGGAAGTTGAAAGTGAGTAAGCTGGTCTATGACAATATGAATGAAATACCAAGGAATACTTTAAAGAATACTGTTTATAATAAAAAAAAATGTGAATTTTCTTTTTAAGAAAGGAGCAGAGTTAGATTAATTTGTAATTAAATAATTTATAAGAACCTAATTTTTAATGTCTGTATTTAATACTGATCAATCATCTTTCTAAGGTAACCAATTTGAAAGTGATAAATATTTCTGAGAACATAATCAAGTAAAAATTACTGAACATAGTCAAATGTATATTATACTTTCTTGTTTGTTTGAAACTCTGGGTGATCATGTTAGGGTGGCTTCCCTGTAGTGTTTAATGTTCAAATTTTTATTTGGATTATGTAGTCATTATTGTCTATAGGATGAATCTGAAAAAGTGGACAAAATTTTAAGGGTAAATAGAACGCAGCTATACACGAGCAATATTTGTCATGGAATGTATGATCGGAATGCAATCAGTAAGAAGTCAAAAGTATTCATTTAGAAGTCAAGCAACAAAAATTAGCATTATATTTTCAAATATTCACAGGACTAGTTTCGATGGTTTAACCAAACCATCCACCTCAGCTGCCAAAGTGCAATTGAAAGATGAAAAAGATAAGATAAGAATGGCTGGACAGGAGTTAAGCTACTGGTGCCATCTATTGATGAAACAAGAAAACTAAAACATAATTTTCTTAACCCCTTCGCGCCGGGTAGCGTTTGCGCTAATAATAGCGTTTGCACTTTTAATAATGCTCTATAGAGTATTTAACCGTCTTATGCTTTATAGATATTTTTATATATATTTTAATTACCTTATTTCTTGTTTAAATGCATATTTTACACATTTTATTTTCATTACTCACCATTTTATGACTTTTAACATTATACATCTGAAAACTAAATATATTACTTAAAATTCTCTTTTCATATAAAAAATTTGAAAACAGGGATCTACACACAGTTCTATATTACATTCCTTGCACTCGTAATAACGACATTGATGATGAGGACATTAATTAATTAAGGATTAATGATGATGAGGACATTTCAGGTCGGCATACAGATGTCCAAAATGTCCTCATCATCATTAGATTCGGCAGCTTCTTTATGATCAGAATATATCATAGTATCTCTATCACTACTATTAGAATCTGTTTCAGAATCAATATCTGAAATATTTTGCATCATTTCTGCTATTTCATGCTTTGTTAAAAATTTTTGACGCTTCGACATTGCAACGGTAAAAACAGAAAGAATTCACATCTAACAAGATCTAATTATTTTCTAAAAACTGAACTGCAAACCAAAATACCCAACGCTTTAGTGAAAATAAAACTTCTCTACTTACAACTACAATGTGCAAATTTAAAGAGACGTCATAAATCATGCCATTCGGAAACATTTATTTCCCCTTTTGTTTATATAATCAAAAACGCGTGTTTGTGAGTCATGCTTCTCTCATTTTGAGTAGAAGGTCTAATGTACATGTATCTGAAACCATATGGACATACAGTGCCATCTTGTGGCAGAAATTATAGTTTTTAAAATGTTGCAGGACAGTGGCACAAATACGTGACAGTCGGGACTGAATGGGAAAATGCTCTGGCACGCCTGCGTGTCGGCCGGGAAGTGAGTGTGTTCGCTGCTGGCATGTAGACGTGACAGTCGGCACGAATGGGTTAAATCCTCCAATCCATCTTTACCTTCAACCTTTAAGGAAATTATGTTTTAGTTTTCTTGTTTCATTTCTTGTTGGTGATGACACCAGTATCTTAAACTCAAAGTGCAGCCATTCTTATCTTATCACTTGGCAGCTGAGGAGAATGGTTCGGTAAAACCATTGAAACTAGTCCTGTGAAATTTTGCAAAGATAAGCTGATTTTTGTTGTTTGACTTCTAAATTAATATTTGTTCAGCATGTTATTTTACCTTAATTAAGTTAAAAGGTAGTTTTTTTTTTGTCACATTTGGAATTAACACAAAAATGAGAGGAGGTATTTCAGAAATATTTTATTAACAGGAATGTGATTCAAATACATGCTCAAAGAAATTGCTCAAAAGACCTTACTAGCTATGAATGCGCGATAGGGATCGACGCACAGTTGCAAAGACACTAGGGATTTCTCGAGTATCGCTGGCAACAACAACGAACTTGACAACTAGTTCCATATTCATTTCAACAGGACATTTGTAGATTAGGCTTTTTATATGGCCCCCACAGGAAAAAGTCCAAACACTGGAGATTTGTTGATCTTGTGGCCAAGCTATGGGACCACCTCAAATAATTCATCATCTTGGAAATTTCGTGGTTTGTATTAATCAGCCATCATCTCGGCAGTCTACGGTAGAAAATGCTGTAGAGTGCGAGGACTACCCTTTTTATACTATTTTCAATGCCACTTATCAGCTTGCTGTTTGCATTCCACCCAGACTTTACCATGATGAATATTGCTTGTATAGCTGTGCTCTATCATACCATAAAGTTTTGCCCACTTTTTCAGATTCAACCTATATAAAGTGACAATTAAATTTTGGCAAAACTGAAATATTTTATGACTGAAAATAAAAACTTTTGTTATTCTTTTCAATAGGCATTGATCTTGCAGATGTAAAATTCTGAATACATATCTTCCCTCACAGTTTCTGCTTGTCAGGATTTTGGCCGTGCAGCATTGTGAATTGCTACAGTTATTGAAATGTACTACTTCAGATTGCAGTAACTTTGGAGTGTTCAACATATTTTTAGAAATGTTCACCCTGTTATATTTAAGAAAGATAAAGGGGAAACTTCTGCTACACTAATTGCAACAAAAATGTATACCTCACATTCTTGCCAATGCAAAAAGCAGCCAGTAAAATGGCATTTTAAATTATTTGTGATGCTGGTGGTAGTGGATTTTCTGGTACAAAACCTTAAAGGTTATATACAGAGATGATTTAATTATTGAAACTATTAAATAAAACTGCCATTAGGAGCTTATTCTGTTTTGTTATTAAATATGTTTCTCTACGAGAGGAGGGGAAAAGGAATATTGTATATCATTCAAATCATCATTGTAAATGTAATTCAAAATACTGAATCGATAATAATTTTAGCTGAACATGTATTTTTAAATTATCTGCTTGTTCTCAAGAATTTTTCTATAAATCCTCTCCAAAAGTCACAGGAAGCTTAAAAAGAATTTACTAGCTCACTCCTCTCGCCAAAAAGAAAAATTCTCTCTATATATGGAAGTTTGTAAATTTGAATTCTTAACTTGCATGCTAATAAGCAATTAGGATTGTCTTAACCACAAGAGTTCATTTTGTAATGATTTTGTACTTACTTTAGCACTTTTGTAGCTTCTTAGTCCTTACCTCTGGGAAACTAATTCATAAACTGTACAAAATAAGAACTATGGTAATACAAAGGTGTGGAAAGTTTACATTAGAATTTCAGGAATTAAAAACTTTTCAGAAAATCATAAAATTTTGTTTTATAAGGATAGTACAGATGTTGAAGGAATAAGTACAGGAATAAGATGATTTTCAAAATCTTTTGAACTATCTGCTCCATGCTTTAATGGAGTAATTCACTGAATATTTTTTTTTTTTTTTTTTTCCAATTTTCATAAATTTTACCTAATTTAATGTTTTATTTTCTCTCAAATCAAAAATGTATTTTCTAAATAACATTTGTATGCTATTTGAAAGGGAAAATATTTACATTAGTGAAGCAATTTCTTATTTTCTAGGTATGTGAAGGCAAAAAGGGCTACAATATCTCCAAATTTTAATTTTCTTGGTCAGCTGTTGGAGTATGAAAAACAGTTGCTACGAGAATGTGTTTTGGATTTTAAATCTCAATCTGCTACCATACCTATGTTTAATTCTTCTAGTCCGTCATTTGAACAAAACTGTAAAAATAAGCCAGTTTCTCATAAAATGATAGACACCACCATCATGTGTTCACAGCAGCTAGATCGTGATTGTATCGTGAAGTACACTGATTTAGCTGAGTTGACGTTTCCTAAAGGGATTTCACAGTCTATGGAGACTGTAAAAACAAAACAATGTAATTCTGCTTTTGAAAAAAGAACATATAAGAATGGAGATGTTTGTAACTATGTTTCAAATAAGGAGTCTGGAACTTTTAGCATAAAATGTTTAGCTGTTTCTTCTTTGAAGGAATTAAACTTTACTCCTTGTCAGACTTCTGCATTTAAGACATCACAGTGCTTGAAGGGTGATAAAAACAGTGTAAAGGCTCCTAAAGTGCCGAGTTATGTTAGTTTGCCAAATAAAATGGAAAGTTCAAATTTTGCAAATTCATATCCATGCCTTAAGTTAGATAAGAAGATGGATTCTTCTGATAATGAAATCCTCCTTTCAGAATGTAAAATGGAAACTCTGCGAAATCTGAGTTCTCTTTCACCAGATTATCATTCTGCAGATCTGAAATCTTTTGAATTTGATTCCAAATCCTATAACAGATCAGATTCAGTTAGTACATCGGGATTGGGCAGTGAGGGATCTGATTGTGCTGATAGTTGGAATGAGTATACTAGTTCCTGTGAACGTGAAACTGATATTTTGATGGATGATGATTTCTCGACAGTGCCTGCTGAAGATGATGAATATCAGAGGAATAAGATCCTTGGTTTCGATGATTCTTATGAAGATTCTTTGTCTTTGTACCCAAAGTATGAGCCTCAATTCAATAATCGATGTACACATGTAGAAAAGTATTCCCATGCTGCTTCAGGAGGAATTGGTAAGTGATTTTTTTTTATTTCATTAATTAAAGTTCGATTTTAGTAAATAGATCTAAGCTAAAACAGGAAAAACTGTATTGTATTATCAATGCTAAAAATTATTACCATATTTACTCTTATATTTTTTCTAGTAGTTTAGCCCAAGGTTCTGAAAGTTTTTTGCTTTTTTTTTTTTTAATTCTATAACCATATTCTTCTGAAATGTTATTATTTGCGTAATTTTCATGTCTCAAAGTTTGGGCAGTAAAATTAGTAAAAAAAGGAGGGAAAATACATCAGTAAATATGGTATTTTTTCATAAAGTAAATAGGATTTCTTTTTTTACTACTACAGACAAATTTGATTTTTATACAGTTTATGTAATAAATTTTATTTATTTTGTAGAGTAAAATTCTTTTAATAATCAGTATGTATTGTTAATATCATCATATTGCACATAATACTTTTAATTACATATAGATTTTATCTTAATCATGAAAAAATAATACAAGTTAAGAGATTTACTGCAGTGATTTCTGAAATTTATATAAAATGAAAACTGATCATTTTAAATAAATCTTCCTGTTGAGCAAAATTTTGCATTTTAAACATTATATGGTTGACATCAGGCATGGTAACATTTGGCCTAACCATCCCACTTACATAAACTTGATGAATATTTATTCGAGAAGTTTCAACTATCTTTCATTATCTTTTAAATAATTGTGTAGAGTCCTTTTCTGAAGACTGAGCTTTCTGAGAGAAGACATTAAAAGAATGACTTACGATATATGTATATAAAAGAAATTAAAAATGTTATTTTAGTCAAATGAGTTTACATACATATTGCACTAATCATAGCATATACAGTCAAAAGTCTTTAATCCGGACTCGTCGGGACTTCGGCGATTCCGGATTATCGATTTTTCCGGATTATAGATCATCAGTTTAAATCTGGCAAGATGGCATGCAGAAATTATAAAATTAAAAATATGAAACCGTAATTTATAAAATAATGAGCAATTATGATCTAAAGGGTATCAAAATTTACAAAAAAAGAAGCTTAATATTTATTTGTTTACTTTATTAAACATTTCTTTCAACGCGCGCATGCGTACCTTACGCATAGCCGAAATTAGAAAATTGCAACCATAAAACTATTTGATTTGTATTCGTGATATTTATAATGACGAGGAATTTGATTTAAATCATATCAAAGATGGAGTACATCGAGATTAAATACTACATTTAGTAAGGAATTATAAGCCGAATAAAATAAAAACATCTGCTGAAGATAACGATAGTGGTGACAGATCAACTTCCAGTTCATTGCGTGCTGTGACGTCCCCCCCCCCCACGCAGAGCAGCGTGAAATTGATAAACAGATTTCGGAACGGTTAGATAAACAAAGGATATACCTTTATCCATTTTTTGTGGCAATTCGTTTTTTTGTTTGATGGACATCGAAATCATACTTTCGTTTTTCTAGATCCTTTGGGAGCTCCAGCATCGGAAATTCTATTTGACATAATCGAAAGTTCAAGCTTACTTTTATAAAATTGCTCTTACAGTCTGCAAAAAATAATAAGCCGGATCCAATTCGAAGATTAAGGAACAACACAATCATCAACATTAACTGAAATAGATAATTAGATAATTTTAGCTTATGCCATCCATTATACATTAAACGCGCACGCGAAAACGTATTCTGCACATGCGCAGTCGTAAATGTCTTGCGCGGACGCGTAAAACGCCTATGAGCATGCGTCAACGCGGTGCATGCGCAGAAAGATTTTAGCTTTGAGGTCCGGATTATAGATCATTCTGGATTATGGGTGTCCGAATTAACGACTTTTGACTGTAATCAGTATTTGCACTAATCATAGCATATAATCAATTTATATTTATATCACATGAAAATGCTTTCAGAGAACATTAAATGAAAACAAATATTTAAAAATGCGATATAATTCCAATAACTGGCACTCTTCGAATTTGCTGGATTATAGGTTATATGTTTCTGAGTTTTGTTTTGTCCTTTTTTCTTTATTTTGATATTAAATTTGGATTGTTTGCTTATAAGTATCTAATTATCTAATTGTAATGAAAGTTCTTCACCAAAATAACATCCTTAATAAAGTTGGGAAAAAAAAACAACATGAAAGCAGTACCTTTAGTGTGGGTATTAATCACCACCCAAATTTATGATTTGCTGCCAACATTTTGGTAGTTTTTCAAAGCCTTTGGTCCAGAAACTTGATGGCTGGGAGTCCAAAAATAGATCAACCTCATTCCATACATGCTGTGTAGAATGGAAGATAGCACAAGCAAGATGTAGCTGCAGCTATGAAAAAAGGTAAAGGTCTGAAGAGCGATGTCAGGGCTATATGGTTCGTGTAGCAAAAGATCTCATTTGAGTCCATACAAAGTCCAGCCAGTAAATACAGACACATATGGTCTTGCATTATCCAGATGGAATTTTGTTTTTGCAGTGATATTTGAGCAGATTAGTGTAGGTCACATCTGTCTTATCTGCTTGAGTAAGCTGAAGTAACAGCGAGCAATTGAACTTGTGCGTGATGTTTATGCAATGCATAGCGCAACTACGTAGGTTGCCCTTTTAGGTTTTAGAATCGAACAATAGATGGCTTTAGTGAGTTGTGGCATCACTGTATTTGTGAACACTAACGTTTGTTATTGCAAAGCCAGTGTCGACTTAGTAATTGACCGATTAGGTTGTTGATAGAGAACTTTTAAAAGAAGCAAGTTTGTGCAAAAATGGAGATCACTTGTGAAGGTTTGCATTAAATGATTTTTATTATTTTAAAAAAGGCCTTTCTCCACAACAATGCATAGAATCGCTTTGTGCAACTTTTGGTAATGAAACACCAGACTGTTTACAATTGCTTTGCAGAATTTTGTCGTGTTCGTGCATCCATCAGTGATGAATGTCAAGAAGGTCGGCCAAAATCAGTTGTCATTCCGAGAAATATCGATGCTGTGCACAACATGATTAAAGAAGATCGTGTGTAGCTTACAGACAGATAGAGATGTCGCTTGGTATATCACAGACTGCAATACAATCGGTTCTGCATGAACATTTAAGTGTGAGAAAGATTTGTTCCAGCATAATTTGACCAAAACACAAAAAAAGCAGGATGGCAAAGTGGGACGCAGGGATCCAAATTTGGGTAGTGGGAGAGGGCAAAAGCCCCCCCCATCCCGAAGTTGAAAATATGGAGTGTAAAATTTTTAGTGAAGTCACATTGTCTTGTAAAAAATTGCCTATCGTTTGTGAATTACCTGTGTGTTAAACAGACTCTGTTATCGAGAGAAAAATTAGAATTTATCCATATCTCAGACTGAATCAAACAATTAAATCAACAATCACGGACTTTGGTATCTGGACTCGAATGTGCTTCCAGTAAGAGTAAGAGCAAAGCCAAAGAAAAAAAAAAAAAATAGCAGTCAGAAAATAAAAGTTTGTAACTTCCTACTTACCTTACTGCTTGAATGTGTCCATCCGGCACATGACAGTGCAAATGTTTTAATTCGACGCGGACAATGGGCCTTCCTGATCAGCCTCTCACCTCCCAAGCATAAGGGATCTGTTTAAATTGAATTCCTATGCCAATTTTGTCATTATGCTTTGTGCATGAGTAAATGGATTAATAATACTCTAAAAAATGTTAGAAGTTAACTTTTGTATTTATTTAAAAAGAGAAGGACAGTGTTTTTAATCCCCTTTTTCCATATCATGTTTTCCATTTTTTAATCAGAAGGATGACCCTTGCTGTTTTCAGCTTGTTATTTGCTCTGCTGCTTGTTGTAAACAAGCTAGCCACAAAATGCATTAAGTTTGAATGCACTTCTTAAAAGTTGTGTGTTAATTAATATATGAGGCATACCACATAAATTTCAAAATAATTAACTACATAAATTCAAACTTAATCTTAAAAGACAGCAGAATATGAATTCAAAAGTACAGATTAATACTGACACAGGTGCAGAAAAGTGCTAAATAATTTCAGTAATAAAATAAATTTGCTTATTCATTTAAAATATATTGTAAATGTTGTATTTTGGTTCAAAAGTTTTTATACATGAAAGAAATGCTGCTAAATTTGTCCATATTTTTTAAAAATTTGTTTACATTCAAAACTTTATATTAGGTACAAGTATTCATGGAATTCTTCAGAATCACTTTTCAAAGGGAAGTTAAGAATACTGCAATCCATGTCGCTGAAACCAATGAAAATGTGCATTTTATGTAAATTGTTTCTTGGCTATGTATGTAATTTTGATATATATGATAGATTTGCTATGGTTTATGGAAAAGCCCTCGAGGGCTATCTCCCTATGAGGAGGGATGCCTTGGTTAAGGACTTTTTAAAGGTAACTGCTCGTATTCATGTTACACATGGGAAAAACTACAAAAATGCCTATGCAGCCAGCCCGTTCGCTGGAATTCAAACATTGGCCCAAACAAACTACCAGTGTTCAGTGATCACCCAACTGTTGATGGTCCTCATTGATATGATGGATGAAGGTAAACTGTCTAAATCAGCAGATGGCTTGAATTATGATGTAATAATTCATCTAAGAAAATCAATACAAAAGGAACCAAAATTTTTTTTTACATGTTTTAACAGTGTAGTGCTTAATTCCTTAAAATAATTTATGTTTGTAACAGTTATGGTGAATAGAAGATTTTTTAGAGAAACCTATACTAGAAATTTATTGGAAATTAAGGTCTCAAGCATGGTGTAGGAATGTGAGAGCACTTAAATTAATTTACAATTCAGCACTTCAATGGGCAAAAAACAAGTTACTATCTCTTTACAAAAATTTTAAGAATTAAATATCCTTAGTGAATAGCAGCAAAAATCAAAGAAGTTGTGTTCCCGCTTGAATGTGTTGTAAATCAAATCAAATTGTAGTTATGTAATGTGATTTGATAAATATTTAAATAATTAATATTAGAAACTAAGGCTCTAGTATAGAATTGCCTCTTCAATAAGCGACAATTTTTTAAAAAAATTTTGGCGATGAAACCTCATTTCTGGTTACCATGATAGTTTTAACTTTGTTTTAGCTTCCTGATTTTATTTAAATGAAAATGGATTGATGTGTACATAGACAAATTTAAAGCTGCCTAGTTTGTGCAATTCTAGGATGTGTTTTTAAGTGAAAACAGATCGATGTGTACATGGACACAGAGTCTGTGCAATTCTTTGACTTCTTATTTTGGTTTCGTGTAGCGGCCATATTGAAATTGTGCCTTCCTGGCCCCCGATCTTTTCGTCACAAAAGAATTGCCAAAAAACAAGGGGCACCCAATTGTAAACTTTTACCGAAACTAATACTATTCAGAATTAAATAATTTTTAAAAAATCTTATGCATAGTGCTTTTTATACTGTATAGTTTAAGAGAGATTTCAAAAGAGTATATTCCTTTCTCATTAATTTGTTGTATACATGTGTCGTTTAAGAAATTGGAAGAAATCATCTATGAATATTTTAATATGATGAGAGTAAACATTATATAAAAAAATTATAAAAAATATAAATGCGTTTTTATGAAACATTGTGATGTCAAATGTTTTTCATAAGAGTGTTTTTATAATTGTTTTAAAATTTAGAAGTCATTTAATTGGAAAAGTCAGGTAAACAACTTAGTAAAACTTGAAAACAAAAAGAAACAAAATTTCAAGGTAAATGTTTTGTTCAAATATTTATATTCACATTTTTTAGTTCTGTTGTGGAAGTTTTCAAATTGACTTTGTTTCTTAAATTTTATAATGTTTTCCTCAAATATTTATATCTAGTTTTTTAAAATTGGCTTTGTTTTATGCTAGAGCCCCTGCTATTTGTAACTTTATTTGAAGTATCAAAATTATGACAATTTCCAAACATGCTTACTTTTAATATTAGTACAGGTATCAGATGCACTTTTATTAGTCGGTAATTGCTATTCATAGTCACTAATTTTGAGAATACATGTTAGTTACTAAATTTAAATATTTAACAGTTTAAAAATGCCATGAATAAAAGATTCTGTTTTGAAACTTAAAATATTTAGAATTTAATTATGCAGTTAATTAATTTTGTATGAAAAGTATTAAAAGTATTAAGTATGAAAAGACTGCATTTGTCCATGGACAAAATAATTTCTTTCCTAAAAAAGTGGGATATTGCCTGCTTCTCTCTTAAATTGTAATTACTTTTACTATACAAAATCAGCTTTGTTTTTATTCCATATTCATGGCATTTACTTTTGTAATTTTGTTTAATCTAAAACATATCTAACATATTTTATTTTTTAGATAAACAATTCAGCATCAGATGTGGAGACACTTCAAAGTATTCTGCTGAAAATGGAGTCTTAAAGTCTGTGCAGAATTCTGAATATGAAAAAGAACTCAGAGGAGCACATATATTGTATCGAGCACAATCTTGTCCAGGTATGCTTAGTTCAGAATCTTCACCAGAAGTATCAGGCACAGATAAATTACCGGAAAATAACAATGTCAAACTCAGGAAGACAAGGCCTGCAAAGTCAAGCAAAGATAAATGTCGGAATCGATACAGTTGTAGTAGCATTGATTATATGGACTATTCCCTGAGTACAGGTTTGTCTCATGAATCTTGTCCTGATGTCTTACATTTTTCATCAAGGTCAGAAAGTTCACCAATACCTTCTTCTCATTGTAATTATCGTCATAGCATGATACAAGTATCATGATTCATTCCATTGAAAGTTCCTTATGTGTTGTGAAAGATGATCAGAATAGGAGAGGCACAAAAGCACAAATTTTTATAATGTTTTGCACTTGCTTCAGATATTTTATATGAGCTCAAACTCTAAAGATATATAGAAGCTTCATAACTAAATAGTATCATAATGATTAGAATGATCAACCATCTCTATTCTAATTGTATAAATAAAGAAACGAGTACAAAAATTGCAAATTAACAGATTTTGTTAAAATATGCAGATAGTTTTAATCAGTAGTTAACTCTAAGATTGACAAAGCTTTTTGGATCTATACATGAAGCTTTGTATTTATCACTTAGATAATTGCACGTTTTTCTTTTCGTATTTTCAAACTATTCAAACTATACAAATGATTATAAGTCGCTGAAGGCTATAAGAGAGCAAAGTATTTTAGGAACAGAATGATATACATAAAATGGGAGCAAATCTTATAATCTGTTAAAGAGCCACCAAGCCACTTAGAGTGGTAATTAATTGTAAATATGACAGTAAAATTTTAAAGCATAAATTTTTCTTCTTGTATTCTATTCTTCCATACTGCATATTGACAATTGTTGATAATTGCCATAATTATAAGATATTTTCAATATTGTAAAAAATTAACAATCAGTTAAATCTGAGCTATATCAGTTAAAAAATTTTAAACATGTTGAATATATGTGCATTATATTTGTATTTATAATGTTGTTTTTGGCAAAAATGTGGTAGTTGATTTTTTTATTTAATAATTTGGCAATTGTTCAGGCTATCATGATGCAAAGCTAACCTGGAAGGTACTGACTATGTATATATATATATCTAATAATTTACTCCATTAAGCTATATTACCAAAACCATTTTATTGCTAAAATCATTACAACAAAGTTCATGCACCATAAGAAAAGAAATTTATAACTATATCATTGAATTGTATCTTTGTTATATTTTATACAGTTTCTGTATTAGTACTTTGTTGTCTCTACAGAATCGTCAATGAATTTATTTTTAATTAATTGGTTGTTGTATTATAGTAAACCTATAATAAACTTCTTTCTCATTGTCATTTTTATCCTGACATTCTGTTCTATTATACCATTTATCAAATTTAATCTGTTGAAATCAAAGCAGAATGTAAATTCTAAGATGTAATATAACATATGGATAGCATTTGTTTACTTTCAGACATTTATGCATGTAACTGGCGCCTGAACAATCTAAAAATTTTATGTTGTTAAGTAAAACAAAGGCTATCTAAATGTTGTACAAGTTTCTAAATAAATGTTTAATTGAAAGAAATACAGAAAAAGAAAAAAGTAAATCAGTCACATCACATTTTTCTTGTGTTCTCAGGTTAGCTTTGTTATGATTTCACTAGCAATTAAATTTTTTCACATATAATTAAAAGTTAGATTTCATGCACCAAATTTTAAATATTTTTATATAGCATTTTCCCTGATCTTATTGCAGATTTTTTTGCTTTGCATGCAAAATGTATTTTATTTATCTATTTTGGAACAGAGTGCGTATGTATGTAAATATATACATATATGGCAGTCTTGGTAGAGGTAAACTTAAGAGGCGTGATTGGTAAATTATCTTCATACTTTAATGTTTTTGTTTCTAAAATACTATGCACTTTGCAATAAATAATATATATGCTGCATTAATTAAACTGTCTTTTTAAAAGAAGCTCTTCAGGAAACCATTTGTTGATGTTGTGACCGTATATCAAAACAGAATTTGTAACAAATGGTGATTTTCAGCCTTGTATTGAATTTATTAAAACATTTTTTCTGGAGGTGCACTTAATGTTTCTGATGTTAAAATTAAGACCAATATAACAATGCAAACCACTATTTATCTAAGGTTAATTTAAAACGTTTAATTCATAACTCTCAGATTTATATGTAATTGTAATTTTTACAATGAAATATAAGCAAATCAGTGTGTGTCATTTTACTGCTTATATTTCACTGTGATTATGTATTGCTTATGTTTCAGTATGTTTTAAATTAACCATTTCAGTGTGATTGCATTTATGTCTTGGAATCATTTTCTGGGAGACACATAATAGTTATGTTATGATTCTGAGTAAATATAGAAGAAATATAATAATTCTAATTCTTCAGCAGATCTGTTATATCACCTCAATGGTATTTTCTTATTTGTCTAAAGTTAAATGAAGCATGCAAATTAAAGTTATGATATTTATTTTATGAATTAAATAATTAGGCAGCTTAATTTTATTGATTTCATATATTTCATTTCTGTATCCTAACCATGTACCAATAGCAAGCATATAAATTATAAAAATATTAAATGGCTTTTTGTGTATCGAGTTTTTATCATTTGACAATTTTAATTTATATTCAGTTATTTAAATTAAGGCAAACTGTGAAAGCTGTTTGCCTAATCAGAGGAATTTAATTTGCTAAACTCGATCCCATTTTTGATGACATGATTAAACTCGAGATTTTGTTTTGTTTATTTTATTTTATTTGATTATGGCAAAGCATGCGAGGGCCATTTGCCTTAACCCAAGGAATGGTGCACTTTTTACCCAATCACTGATTGAGGTGACTTGGCTTCTTAGATTTGACTTCCCACATATTGCAAAAACTTTGTAATTACAAAGTTGTCCATCTTATAGAGTCAAAGGCTCCCGAGATAAAGAAGGAGACCACAACCACATGGAATTCAGATTTTTGTGAGCCGGTAATATTGGCAAGATCAAAAAGAGCATTTTTCGTAAAACAGCCTGGTGGAAATCCGTATTGTTTTGTAGATACAAAATCATTCTTTAATAAAAATAGTACACTCTATTTGTAAGTAACTTATCCAAAACTTTTTCACAAAATCTTAACAAAGAGAGCATTACCTCTTTAGGGTAATGCTTTTCAGCTTCAGGAATGCTTTCATGCTTCAGGAAATTTATATCTAGTGCACCAATATGGAATTGTTACCTGTAAGGCCCCCTCAACCCCCCAAAAAAGAAAATCTGTTTTTATATTGCTTGTATCATGTACCAGGCTTGCACCAGATTGCTGTAAATCACATTAAGGTAGAGGGCAAACCTTGAGAATTCATATTTTTTCCCCCTTTGTAATTGTATTATTATTGTGCAGTAAAATGTTTTTGTTTTACCAGATCTAGTTAGTTTGAAGTATGCAGGAAACATAAGGTAGCTACAATATAGTTTAGTCTAAGAGCTTTGGGCCCACTAGTGGCTGACTGGTTAAAAAGCATTTAGTTCAACCTGGGTTCGAGTCCCAGTGAATGGGCTCACTACATGTGTGTTTTTATGTTTAATGTGAATATAAACCTGCCCCTTAGAGTAAGTCCTTCATGAAAACACATACCTTCTTTTCCAGGCAAATAACCCTTTTGTGTTTTGCCTCAACCAGCTAACCTGAAAACTTTGAGAAGAATAAGAAAAGAATGTAATTTGTAGCTCTTGGGGAAACGTGCCATATAAAATGAAAATCTCATGTAGTATGTTGTTAAAAGAGCTTTTGTCATTGAAATTTTCTGTTAATTATTTATATGCATTATATCCAATTTAAAGAAAAAGTCTTTTGTAGTGAAATTGTTTATGTCATAATATCTAGCTGCTAAATTTAAAAGGTTAATTAATGTCATAATGCATGCTATAAATTAATACCTACCTAATGGATGTATAGTTATTAGAAATTAAATAGAATTTCATTTTATTTTTTCACATTTTATGTAAATGCAGAGTTATATTACATATTAGCCAGACCAGCAACCATACCAACAAATAATTTTTTGATTGTTAGCTCTGCTAATAATTAGGATGGCTGCAGCTATTAATGTTGGTTAATTATTCATAATGCCCAAATGCTTTGTTCTTAAAGTTCAGTTCTTTGCAGATTGTTTGCAGTAGTTTTCCATGTGGTTGTAGAAGAATTCATACAGTAATGTATGAAGGGAAGATAGATATGAAATCACTATTTCTATGTATTAAAATTATACATTTTAGATAATTATTTTTGTATTATAAGTATATTATTTGGTGTAATTACTTACTCCTTAATATAAATTTAAATTTTAAAGAATATGGGCTTATTGAAAATTATTCAATTCTGATAATTCTAATAATGATTCTTATTATCAATTCTGATATTTTAAAAGTGATAATAATTTGTCTAATGTTGCTAATTATCAAATTTGCCATATTTCTGACAACTCATCTTTCTAAAGTGCAAAAATACTCATTGTATCTACTGATTTTTTTTAATGTCTTTGTTTTGTCTCAATGAATGTGGACAAATTCCACTATAGGAGCTGGTCTCCATGGTTGATTTGCTATTTGTGTTAATCAAACGATTTCTTCTAAAGAAATTGTAACAAAGTACAAAACTTGGTTAAAATTTGACTAATGTTAGCTGAATAGTGTGCTTAACATTTTAATTTGTAAAAAGTGTTCTTGGATATTCCGGAAATCTGTGGTGTGTTGTTTTTTGTTAGCTGATGTTTTAGGATTTTGACTGAGGGCTTGTTATTTTTTGTCACAGATTTGCTAGACTGTCTATTAAGTTTTATGTATTATTATCAATATTCCATCCTTTCTCTTTGAAACAGAAAATTGTAATATTTGTTATAACTATATCTTTTAAAAAAAGACATTGAATGAAGTAATGTTTTTTTAAAATTATTATTATTACTTCTGTATTCAGTCCACTTTAAAAAATTGAGTATCTATCTTAAAAAGTAGCATTTCCTCAAATTGTGAATTTTTTATCAGTGGACAAAATAGTGTATTTGAATATATAGGAAAAATGGCATGGTGTCTTGCTAAAATATAGAAGTTATATGGCAGAAAGTAAGATGTTTGAGGCCCCAAGAGAAAAAGGTCTTTCTTTAAATATGCCTATCAGAATATTGTGACAAGAGATGAAAAATTAAACAACATGACATACAGTTGCTGCTCTGTGAAGCACAACCCAATAAAAAGTACTGAAATGTTGTGGAGAAAAGAATTCTAATCAGTGTTATGATATGTGGCTCATATTTATGTATTATTATCAATATTCCATCCTTTCTCTTTGAAACAGAAAATTGTAATATTTGTTATTACTATATCTTTTAAAAAAAGACTTTGAATGAAGTAATGTTTTTTTTTTTAAATTATTATTATTACTTCTGTATTCAGTCCACTTTAAAAAATTGAGTATCTATGTTAAAAAGTAGCATTTCCTCAAATTGTGAATTTTTTCTTGTCTAACTAAATCTTGTCTGATTTTTTTCCAGTTTAATGATTTTCCAGATCCATTAGTAAACTTTTTGATTTTAAGTTTGTATAGTGTAGGCTAAATATGATTTTTACTTAACTGGTTTGCAGAATTTTAGTTAACTGTTTTGCGGAGTGAACAGACAGAAAAAATAAAACTTTGCAGAAGGTGGAACTTATTTCAAAAAGTAATTCATTACAATCATATTCCTCACAAATGGTCCATTCATTGCTTTTAAACTGTAATTTATATATATATATATATATATATATATACATACAGATATATATATATATATACATACAGAAGCAAGCCTTAAGATGAATACTGGAAAAAACATATAACTATTCTTCATATCATTAAAATTATATAAGCAAAAAAAAAAAAAAAAAAAAAAAAAGCTGATCACTTTGATTTAAAAAAAAGTAACTTATTTCACAGTTATTAAAAAATCAACAACATTAATTTTTCCATAAGTAAAATATAAATGGATTATTTTATGATGCAAAATAGTAATTTTGGTATATGCCTGCAAAAATAATGAACACTAAAATATCTAAGAAATTACCTTGAAATATATTTTCTTAATGAATTACACCAATTAAACAATTAAAGTTAGCTTTATTTCAAGCTATATTAATATGCCACTACAGTAGTTGCATCAAAAATTTTAATAAATTATTTAATCCTTAATTGATAAGTGGCCATATCTGAAACTGTTCCATTTATAAAGCTTCTGCATCTATTAGTATGCTGATAGAAATTAAAATCCCAAAAAACAAAATCGGTTTAGAGGAATAAAATGTAGGCAAAGAATTTGTCTAGGTAACATATGTATTTGATTTATGTTTCAAGATCACAAGTTAAACTATGCATGCAAAGAGCCATTTTAAATATAAAATTGTGGTACCTTAATAATTGCTGTAGTTGCTACTATATTGAATGGAAGCATGTAAACACATAAGCATTGTGTTTTATAGGTGCCATATGTCATTTCATGGAATAGAATTCCATGCCTGTTGCACTTGGTCAGTCAAATCAGCAATTGTCCTTGCTGGTTGTGGATAATACTGGTTTTGTCATCCAGTCATGTCCCATACATGCTTGATGGAAAAAAAGATTAAGTGATTTTGCAGGCCAAAGACCCATTTCGACACTTTGTATAACACATTGGGTAGTAGCAGCAGTAGAAAGTGTTATACTTTTGGAACACATCGTGTATAATATTACTCTAGAATGGCAGCACAACTGGTGATTACATCAGTCTGATGTTCAAATTTGCTGTCAAGGTGTGTGGGATAATGATGAGTGCTACCACTGTCATAGGTAATTGTTCCCCAGACCATAACCCTTGGTGTATGTCAATCGTGTCTGTGCTGCAGACAGCTTGGTTCCAAGCACTTCCCAGGCATTTTTCTAACCAACATACAACCATCACTAGCATTAAGATAGAAACAACTCTCGCCCTTCAATGAGCTTACCACTGAAGTCATAAATGGTGGTGTAGTAGCGTGGCTGCCACTGAGTGTCTGTATTGGAACTGTTTCCCAAGTAATCAATTTGTTCGCTCGGTTGCTCTGGTGCCAGCAAAAGCTCAGATGTGTGCTGCAGATGCAGTGAGATGTGCTACAGATATGTGGTGAATACGGTGGTTTTCTCTTTGAGTGATCGCGTGTGTGTGGCAGGACCCAGGCCTTCTTGAAACAGTACCTTTCCATGATCGCTGCTGCCAACATTTATGTACAATACTCCTTACTTAATTGATTAGGGGCAGAAAGGCATGTTTCTGCAATATTGCAAAAAATCCACCTACATATAGTTCTGTTACACGGCCTCGTTCAAACTCAATAAACTACTGATGCTACCTTCTTTGTTTCCTTTTCAAGGCATTTTTTATTCAGATCTCGCTCACAGTGCTTAGTCTGGAAGATCAATAAAGCACACAAAGTTACATCACATATTTAAGGCAGACGTGGGATTGCATGTTCATATTGACGCTACTAGGGTCACACTAATTCGTTTACCATGAAAAACTTGTATAGACGTTATCCATCAGATGTGCAAACATGCCTTGGGATTTCATTTTCCTTTAAGTGTATATAAGCAATGAAGAAATTTTTAAGTTTATTTGTAACAAAGTTTAATTTGTTGGCAAAGTTGTAATAAATTTTATTAGTATTCCTTTTTTAGAACTGTAGTATCACAATGGCAAATGTATGTTGAGAAACCTTTCATGTACTGAAAGGTTACATACCTAGTTAAGGGTTAAAAAAAAAAAAAAAGAGACAATCTAATACATACCAACTAAAATTATGTTATATTGTGAGAAACTTTGCCAGTGAACTTACTGTATTACATTGATAGTATTTTAGAAGAGAATATCTGAAATTGAGAATTTATAGTTATTTATAAAATTAAGTGGTTTTCATGTCACTTCATATTTTTTCTTTTCTTCATTTCGTTATAAATCCGATTTCATTTATGCTGTAGTTATATTAATTTTTGTCCTACTTTTTGAAATCTTCGATCCAAGAGTGATTTTAATAGTTCATAATCCTTATAGAAATTCAAATTTAACCTTTTTTTCATGCAATTGCATATTTTCTTTATTTTATGCATAATGTATTAAAATATTAACATTATTTTTAAAAGTAATATTTGTAAAATTGAGAGTTTAGTATTATTATTTATAAAATTAGATTTTGGTATAGATTATTAGAAAAGAACCTTTTAACATGGCACTTCTTCATTTAATTTGGATAAATAGTTTTCTATTTGATATCACTACACTCATGTAATCTAAATTATTTGTGTGAGAATTGACTTTTGATTGCAGTTACCCCAATAGCACATTATCTAGCATATTTCGTGGAAATGAGGCATCTTAAAAACTGAAATTATTGATGCAGTTATCCATATCATGTGTAAATATTTTGGCCAGTTATTTAACGCCTTGTATTTTTTCTGCAATGCACAATATTTTTTTAATTGTAATCTGTGTGGAGAAATATCCCTCTTCAGAAGTATTCTAATTATATGTCTGTTTGGCATTTTAAAAATGCTATAAAGTTTTGGGGAAATGCTCTTTTAAATATATTCTTGGAAATATTTAAAACTATATCAAACATGCCTAAATTTCTCTGTTGTGAATTTCATCAACACATAAATTCCTTTATAATATTTTAAATCAGCTAACAGGTGAATTTCCTAAATCAGTGCAGGGAAAAGTTGAGTTTCTCTATAATTACCTAATTAGTGATATTTTTTGGGTTATGTGTAATGTGTGAATAAAGTTTGAATGCAAGAAGTTCTGCTACTTTCTGGATTGTGTGTACTTGGAAGTTTCATTTTCTGGGTTATGTGTAATGTGCGAATATATTTTAAATGTAATCAAGAAAAATGTTAATATTCCCAGAGCTTGGGATACTGATTGTATGTGATGGAATGCCAAAGCTTATATCATGAGAGAATAACTTTTGTATTGCTTTTGTGAATTCTGTATTTATTGGCATGAATGAAACTAGTATATTTTGTATGTTATTGTAAGCACTTAATGATTAAGTTCTTAATTATATTTCACTTTACTTATTTTATCGCTTATGATTATACATGTATAAATAGGCAAGATAAAACTGTTCAAGTGATGTAAAGGTTTTACGCGCTGTTGTACATCTTAATAAATGTTGATGAGAATTACTGAAATTTTCGTATTATTTTTGCTTCATGGAATCATGCATTTATAAAAACTTCACGGGAAAAAAGAGATTCTTCATGCTTATCTGATATATAGCAATCTTAAAAGAAATTTGCATAGCTTTTTGTTATTATTTTATTGCAGGCCAAAGAGCCATGTGATCATCCTGTTAATAACATGTAGGACCACCTTTAGCCCTCAAAACTGCCAGCATCTTGCATGGCATTGACTCCACAAGGTGCTAATATGTAGTCTGATGTATCTGGTACCAAGCGCTCACCAACTGGTCCTGCATATTGCGAGGGGGTAGCATGGCATCATGAATTTGGTTTTCCAGGTTGGACCGCAAATGCTCTAATTGGATTTGGAGGTCAAGACATGACTTGAAAATCAACGGAATGTTGCTCGAACCTCTCCCTGACAATTCGACCCTTATGACATGGTGCAATATCCTGTTAATAAAAACCATCCCCTCCGAAAATACTGTTGTCATGAATGGGTGAACCTGGTCTGGAACAATGCTCACATAGCATGCAGACGACAGGGAATGTTCTATGGGGTTTATGAATCTTAATGTGCTCTGAAAACATTGCCGATGCCATAATACCCCTTCCACCGGTTTTTCTCCGGCCAACTGTGCATCCAGGAGCCAGGGTTTCATGACGTGCCGTCAATGTAGGGACATGCTTCAGCCTCCTGCGTAGGCCCATACATAGCAATGTACACTGCACAGTATGTTGAGAAACACTGTTTGGGTCGCCACTGTTGTAGCTCTTCAGTCGTGGCAAATAATGCATAGCAATCTCCGCTCTCCTCTGGAATCAATGCACCATTGACGACGCACTACTGGTTGGTGACTTGTTGTTTCACCACCCATACACCATTTTCGATATGTGCTTATAATAACTGCATGTGAACAGCCCACTAAACATGTCGTTTCTGATATTGATGTTCCCAGTCGCCGAGCCGTAATGATTTGACCTATATAGAAGTCTGAGAAATCAGCTGCTTTTCTCATTATGTCACTAATTGTTTGAAAAGACAATGCATAGCCACTTTATATACTCCAACATCAGCCGCGCAGATGCAGTGATTTTGTTCTTGGGCGAGCCCATTGTTATAGATGGAGGGTGGTCATAATGTAATGGCTCTTCGGTGTATAATATGTAATATTCTGAGAAGTATAGCTTTGTTTAATAAGCTACTGTACATAAGAATTCAAAAATATTTACATCTTGGTTAACAGTATTTATTATTATTTCTGTGCAGATGAATCAAAATAAATGTGTTCAGTACCCGGCCTTTATTTTCGCTATCTTTGGTTTTAGCCATATGCATCCAGTTACAGAAGTGTTTTAAATGATGAAAATGTTCATTTTTTGGCAATGACAAATTTTAAAAATATTAATTTTGGTCAAATAATGAGATATAACTTTTAATGTGGTCTCACAGTTTCTGTACTTAAATTTAGGAAAGTTTTATACTCGTTATGAAAAAAGAAAATTATAAGAGGTTTGACTCTCGTATGACAAAAATTGACTGGGATATTTAATTTTAAAATTTGTAGTTTTTGGTATCATTTTCAACTTGCCTTGAGAGATCATTTAATTAAGCTAGAATTATTCGAGGAAATAAGTTTAAATGAAGTGCAGCAAAAAACTTGTATAAATTAATAGGCTGTAAAAAAATGTAATGTGGTGTCCACATAAATTTTTTTTTTAAATATTTTTATTAATTAATTATATTTTATTAATTTTTAATTTTTTAATATTTTTATTAATAGCTTTGTGATACTGAAGTTGTTGCACCAATTGACTTAATTCACTATTCTGCTAAGAGTTTCAGATGTAAACAAATATCCACCTCATAAGCACTACTTACACTTTTAAATTGTTGATAATTCTACAATTATTACATATAAATTAATTAAAGGCACAGAAACCATAACTGGAACCTATGAATAACATAATTTAAAATCAAAATGCACTGGTGCGGCCGATTGATTGAAAAAAAAAAAAAAAAAAAATGGAGGTGCACAACTAGATGTTGCAGCAGTCTCGTATACAAAATTTCAACGTTCTATGGGTATTTGTTTTTGATTTCTGCGAGATACGTACGTAAGGAAAAAAATCCCTGCTGAATCCACGTTACAATCCCGTTTTGAAAAAAAAAAAAGTCCTTTATTTGAGTTGGAGCATAAGGTGCCAAATTGAAGCCAAGCTTCAAGAGGGAGAAGAAGAAGAGTCCTTTGTTCTGTCCATACATACAGATGTTACAAAAAAAAAAAAAATCGAATAGATTCGAGAACTCTCAAAATGGATATTTTTGTCTAAATATGATACTCGAAATTTTTCTCGATTACAATACTTCTTTTACTGCTTACAAGAAAGTAAGGAGCATAGAATGTAGTTACTATGTTATTTTCTGAGTCAAGAATATCTCTTAAAATAAAAGTTGCAAGTTTCCTTAATCATTTAAAAGAGTTTTATTTATTGACATAATTTTAAGGGTCAAGAAAGAGAGAATGAAAAAAGCTGTAAAATTCACTGCATGTACAGAATTCGATCCAGCGATGGAAACATATATGGATAATTTTAAGAATATCAAATGGTGTCACCATACGAAATTATAGCTCGTAGTAGAGTACAGGATTATTTTTCATTATAGGATGACACGCATTAAAATATTTTCTGCAGAAAGGTTGTAAGTTTCCTCACTCTTTTTGTCTAAAGTAAATATCGAGAAACCTAGTGAACTGTTTAGCAATGTATCTTTGAGTTCAAGTAATTAAACATGTATCATTAAAAATATCCTTTATTTCACTCAAGAATAACAGTTGGCCCCTTTTTCGAGCTTACAACAAAGTCTCCACTTGGGCTTAAACTCAAAATAAGAATTAAGAACTAAACTATAACTAAAAGGGACTTAGCCGAAGGTTTTACTTGGTTTCTAACTGAATTGGCCCTTAATTTAAACTAGCCGGTGAATATCAAAAGGCACGTAACATAAGGTCGAGCAGCTTTAAGAGAGATTTAGCCCGAAGTCAAACACGCTCTACTCAGGATTCCTAGCTCTCTCTCAGGAAGTAAGTTAAATCTTCCTCAAATACTTCTTCTAACTCATTTGCATTCAACGAGATTCTAAAAACTTATTCTGGTAGGGAGTTGTAAGTAGAAACAATAAATGATAGGAAAGTGACTTTAAAGTAACTGTTATAAAATATACCTTAGAAGGTACATGTGCTTATTAGCCGTTTATAAATTAATCGTGTTATTTATTATCTCTTAAAAAAGTGATTTTTTTTTTTAAGTAAGTATTGTTAATAAATTTTTTAAAAGGTGGGCCATTCTATTTTGTTCTTTGTTTATTGTGGTAATTAAATTAAGATACATATTTCTTATGCTTCGAAAATCTTCTCACTGTTAATACGAGATAGCCATGTTCGATTTAAATCCCCCCCAAAATAATATAAGAATCGAATTTTTTTTTTTTTTTTTTTTTTTTTTTTTTTTTTGGAATGTGCATCAACATTTTTTGCGTCATGGACAACTGCATTATTTTATTACATATGGGTGCATTAAAAACGAATCCATAAATACTGAAGGAAGCTTTATCAATTTTATAGAAATAAAAGAGAAATTTGATAATAGTTTTGCTAACGAAATAGTTAGAAAAAGATGGTCTCGACAAGTTCGAGGTTAAGGGTTATGATAATGGCACCAGTATGGACTGTACAAAGGCGTGCAAGCCATTATTTGTCAAAGATATCAACAAATTAATTTTATACCTTGTTTGACTCACAGCTAAAATACAGTATGTAAAAAGTATATATATGTAAAATTAAAAAAAAAAAAAAAAAAGGTTTTTGTACAATATGCTTTTATTTAAAATGGATATGATAATTAATGCACTACAAAGAGAAAAATTATTTATCATATAACTTAATGAGAATAGTAGATTAAATACAGTGGAATCTCGAGATACGAGTTTAATTCGTTCCAGCATTGAGCTCGTATAGCGAATTTCTCGTATCTAGAAACAAACTTCCCCCTTTGAAAATAATGGAAATCCAGTTAATCCGTTCCGTAACAAATATTAATATAAAAATCAGTTTTTCGAATAAATAACACTTGTAAATACTTTTAACTAGTTAACTTTATGATAGCTTCCAACACCGATTTTTTAACTGCTTCTCGTTAATCCACACCAACAACAGTTTCAAGGAGTTTTGGACCGTGCTTGGAAGTAAAGGTAACTCCGTTGGCTACATCAAGTTTCTTAATTACTTCATTCTTCTTGAGTGCAGATCGTCAAGGTCGTAAGTTTTCGCCAATTCCGTCACTCTTATACCACGCTTATGTTTATCTTTGATTTCTTTCTTAATTTCAACGGCCATGGCTTCCTTATTTTTCTTTGCAGCACTATCTGATGTAACAATCTTCTTGGGAGGCAACGTGAAATAATTATTTTTACGTTAAATGTAATAAACAATTAACTCACAAGCGCAAAAACACGTAGATCAAAGAATATGGAGTGATCTGACGAGGGGATTCCCCAAGTCGAGCCAGATTGGGAAACGGCGCTACGCATACCAACAGCCTGGCTCCTTGCTCGTTACTCGAGTCAATGCTCGTATTTAGAGACCAAGTTTTCGCTCTTACTTTCTCCGTATCTCGAATTTCTCGTATATGTAGAATTCATGTACAATTTTATATCACGAATAATAAAAGCGTAAAACGTAAAAATTTAGCTTTAGAGATAAATACCTGAACAGAAACAAAAAAGATAGATTAATAATTCAGATGATCAAGATTCAATCAATAAAAAAAACCAATTTTTCAGAAAGCTAATTTTTTATAGTCAAAATTAAAAAACTGTTAGATGTACAGAGATTGTGCTTGGAACTAAATTTAACTTGTGGCTAATCCTCCAACTGACGTGTGAGCGACTTAATGTCTAATATGAAACAGAATTTGAGAAGGGTGTAAAAGACCCTTTTGTTTAAAAC